CGTCATGCTGAAGAGCTCCATCTGCAGACTCGGCGGGGCCAATAACGCAGAAATGTCACGCATGAACGAGTGTCCCTTGGACCCCGGCGGTTACTTCATCATCAACGGCACGGAAAAGGTCATTCTCATCCAGGAACAGCTCAGCAAGAACCGTGTCATCGTCGAAGCAGACGAGAAGAACAGCGTCATCACGGCCTCCGTAACCAGTTCGACTCACGAGCGCAAGTCCAAGACGCATGTGACGCTCAAGAAGGACCGCATCCTCCTGACGGCCAACATCTTGGTCGAGGGCATCCCGATTGTCATCATCCTCAAGGCGCTGGGAGGCTTGACGGATTACGAAATTATGCAGCTTGTGGCCGGCGACAACGGAAAATACCAGGACGAATTCCTCGTGCAATTCGAGGAAGCAACCAAGGCCGGCGTCTACACTCAGCAGCAAGCACTGGAATACATTGGCGCAAGGGTGAAGATGGGTAAGAGCAGAGTCCCCTTCGCGGCCCAGGTCCGACGGAACCACGTCGAGGAGGCCCTCGACGCCTTGGCAAACCTCATCATCGCCCATGTCCCCATCGAGGGTCTGGACTTCTACCCCAAGGCGATCTACGTGGCGTTCATGACACGCCGTGTTCTCATGGCGCAGCAGGACCCTAGTCTTGTCGACGACCGGGACTTTGTTGGAAACAAGCGTCTCGAGTTGGCTGGCCAGCTTCTCTCTCTGCTTTTCGAGGATTTGTTCAAGCAGTTCTGCGGCAATGTTAAGAGCAGTATCGACAAGGTCTTGAAAAAGGACAACCGAGCCGTCCCTCTCGATGCTGTCAACATGATTAGCAATCATGCCAACATGATCGGCCAGGGCATCAACCGCGCAATCCAGACGGGCAACTGGACTGTCAAGCGTTTCAACATGAACCGAGCCGGCGTCACCCACGTCCTCAGCCGTCTCAGTTACATCAGCGCACTCGGCATGATGACGAGAATCAGCTCCCAGTTCGAAAAGACCCGCAAAGTTAGTGGCCCTCGTGCGCTTCAGCCATCCCAGTGGGGTATGCTGTGTACTTCGGACACGCCCGAAGGTGAAGCCTGCGGTTTGGTCAAGAACCTGGCGCTCATGACGCACATCACGACCAACGTCGAGGAGGCGCCCGTCAAGCGATGGGTCTTTACCCTTGATGCTGGCGTCGAACCCATCAGGAACTTCTCGGGCGGCGAGATGCACCGCGAGACTTCATACGTCATCCACATCAACGGAACGCCCTTTGCGCTCACGAGATACCCGAAACGCTTTGCCGGCAAGTTCAGGACGATGCGAAGACGCGGCTGGGTCTCTCCCTTCGTCAGCATCCACATCAACAATCACTTCAACGCCGTCCACATCGCGACTGACGAGGGACGTATTTGCCGACCCTATATCATTGTCAAGAACGGCAAGCCCAAGCTCAAGGAAGAGCACCTGCGCCTGCTGCAGCTCGGCAAGGCCACTTTTGACGACTTTCTGACCCACGGCATCGTCGAGTATCTCGACGTCAACGAGGAGAACGATACCCTCGTGGCCCTGTACGAGAAGGATGTCACCCCCCTCACTACCCACATGGAGATCGAGCCATTCACCGTCCTTGGAGCGGTTGCCGGTCTCATTCCTTTCCCGCACCACAACCAGTCGCCCCGAAACACTTACCAGTGCGCCATGGGTAAGCAAGCCATCGGCGCGATTGCATACAACCAGTTCAACCGTATCGACACGTTGCTCTACACGCTCGTCTATCCACAAAGGCCAATGGTCATCTCCAAGACGATCCAGCTGGTCAACTACGACAAACTGCCGGCCGGACAGAACGCGACGGTCATTGTCATGTCATACTCTGGATACGATATTGAGGACGCCCTGGTGCTGAACAAGGCGTCTTGCGATCGCGGTTTCGGGCGTTGCCAAGTATTCCGCAAATACACGGCCGAGCTGCAGAAGTACCCGAACGGCCGGCGAGAGCGTATCGGAGACCCGGTGAACGACGAGAACGGAAGAACGACGAAGCACGAGGCCCTGGACGACGACGGCCTGGCGATCGTGGGCTACAAGATTAACTCGGGCGAGGTCATGATCAAGAAGGAGACGCCGCTCGATACGGGATCTACGGGCATCGGCATGGACCGCGGGCCCAGCGAATTCCGCGACTCGTCCATCTCGTACAGGATCGCGGACCCCGCGTACATCGACAAGGTCATGGTCTCCCACACGGAGAGGGAGACGATGGTGGTCAAGGTGCAGACGAGACAGACGAGAAGGCCCGAGCTCGGAGACAAGTTCTCGTCCCGTCACGGACAGAAGGGTGTGGTGGGCATCATCGTCGACCAGGAAGATCTGCCGTTCTCGGACACGGGCCTGGTCCCCGATATCATCATGAACCCCCACGGTTTCCCCTCTCGTATGACTGTCGGCAAGCTGCTCGAGTGCTTGACCGGAAAGGCTTCGGTGCTGGACGGGCGCAAAGACTACGGTTTCGGCGACGCGTTCCGGTCGCATCCGCTGGAGCAGATGAGCGCTGCGCTGGTCGACCACGGCTTCTCGTGGGAGGGCAAAGACTACTTCACCTCGGGCATCACGGGAGAGCCGTTGGAGGCCTACATCTTTAACGGGCCCATCTACTACCAGCGCCTGAAGCACATGGTCCAAGACAAGATGCACTCTCGTTCCCGGGGCCCCAGAGCCATCCTCACGCGGCAGCCGACGGAAGGTCGATCCCGTGACGGCGGTCTTCGTCTGGGTGAGATGGAGCGTGATTGTCTGATCGCGTACGGAGCTTCTCAGCTGCTATTGGAGCGTCTCATGATCAGCTCGGACGGAACACAGATCGACATTTGCCAACAATGCGGCTTGTTCGGTTACAAGGGGTACTGCCACACGTGCAAGAGCACCAGGGAGGTGACGCAGATGACGATGCCGTACGCCGCCAAGCTTCTGGTGCAAGAACTCATCAGCATGAACGTCGGCGTGCGGTTGCAGCTCGAGGACGAATTCCCTCACCCGAGATAGATGATGGCAAACAGTATGTATAGTACCCTCGAGAGTGTATCACGAGAAAAGCCGTATGGGTTATTTGGCGTTTATTGCGAGGGTGTGGCATGGGTCTCGAAGAAAGAAAGAAAAAAGCATTACTATTAGATGGCTAGCTAGCATACTATCAACGTTCGATATAGGCTGTGGGAGGGGGTTTTCCGCACACAAATTGGACATGGTTTTTGGTACGGCCTTCTCGAATGTTCAAAAGTTCGGCCATCTCCTCCGACCCGATATCAAAGTGGGGCACAACTCATCCGGTTGCGCGGGTCCTTCTCCACACCCCCCCGGCTAGCTCAGCTAGAGAGCTCCTTCTCCCCCCTGTGAATTTTGAATAAGTGTATCCGTAGTCACCCACACGGTTTCTTGACATCATCTCTTTCCGCCTCGTCACCCCGGATGATTTTTATTTTCTCAACAGCACCCTTAACCTGTTGCTTTCGTGTCCGCGACATATACCCAATGCATCCCCGTCGAAATCATTTACGATGACCGGTTGTCCAGGACCCATGGCCGCTGCGCGCCTCACCACGTCTCCCGGCGTCCGCGCCGCCGCGGCGTCCCCGCTGACCTCACAGCTGTGGTCCAGCGCGACCGCGAACGCCGCCACCGCCCGAATCGCGGTCCCCGCCGCAGCCGCCGCCGCCGCCGCCGCCGTGGTGGCATCGACGCCGCTGTCGTCGCCGTTCGTCCCCTCGCGCGACGGAGCGAAGCACCGCGATGCCCCGAACCGCTACTTCAATCCCTCCAACACGGTCCTCTCCGGCAATGGCGGGAGTCCCGGCAAGAAGCCCGGTGACGAGAACAAAGCCAACCTCGGCAAGAGTGCGTGCCACCCTCCTTCCCTCCCCCGCTCCTTATCCCTCTTCTTTCCTCTTCTTCCTCTCTCCCTTCCAAGACCCTGCTGACACGCGGTCTCCCACGGTGACAGCCCTCCGCATCCTCCAAGACCACCTCCCGACGGTCCTGCAGTCCCCGCTCCCGCAGGAGATCCTCGCCCCCAACATCTCGCTGCACCTCTTCCCGACGACGCACCCGCACCTGCCGACCGTCTCGGGCCGCGTCGCCTACACCGCCGCCCTCTGGACGTCGCCGATCGCCTGGAACCGCCTGCCACTGGTCGGCAACGTGCGGCTGTCCATCATGTCGGAGCGGGTGACGAAGCAGCCCATCCACTTCGCGCCGCTGCGCCCGGGCGCGATCCCCGAGCAGCTGGTCGTGCGGTGGTGCGCACCCGACAAGAAGAACGGGTCGGCTACAGCCGCCGCCGCCGCGGCGGCTGCGGCTGCGGCGTCGCCGTCGTCGACGACGACGGGGGACGCCTCCGCGACGGGAGGCGGAGACAAGGCGTTCACGGGCCTGTTCGTGTTCCAGTTCGACGCCGAGGGGCGGATCCTGAGCCACACGATCGAGACGGTGCAGGAGGGCGGCGACTGGGAGAAGGGCGTGGGCGCCAAGGTCGTCGGGCTGACGGACTGGCTGTTGGGCGGGATGCGGAGGCAGGGGGATAGCCCCAGCCCCGCGTTCGAGGGCCTGGGGAGGAAGGGATGAGTCGAGTCTCGCTCGTCCAAGGGCGGGCTTTGCCAGTCGACGAAGATTGGTGGCGGGGGGCGGTAGTAACGCTGGTCTTGAGAGCTTCTGGAAGGGGGGGGGGAATGGGCGAAACGGCAACGGCGTTTTTTGGTATTGGGGCATACCCGACTTCATCATCATTGGGCGCGGGCAGCATTAGCAGATCAATCCCTCTTCTCTCCGTCTCCCTACTCTATTCCATGTAAAACCACACTTGTATCATAGGTTCACCCTTTTAAAATAAGAAAAAGAAGATGCCACAAATGACGAAACCAGGTGGGGGTGGGAAAACCAGAACAAAAGTTTAGCCAGAAAACTCCCTTGCGATGCAGAAAAAAATCCTTCGTCCCCCGTTTGCGCGTTCACACCGCGTTCACACCGCGACCTGCCTCGCCCCCCTCCTCCGCTCGCCCTCGTCCTCCTGGGCGTGGGACGCCATGACGTCGGCCAGGTCGGCCTCCCTGACCAGCAGGACCTGGGTGTCGGCGACGCGGGCGGTCGTGACGGTCGTGCCGCGGACCCAGCCGTCCCAGACCTGCCGCACGACGTTGCTGTTGACATGGTCATGGTCGTCGTCGTCGTCGACGGCGGCGGCGGTGGTGGTCAGCGGCCGACACGGGCCCATGGCCTCCTCGTCGCGGGGCGCGACGGCGAGCACGAGGCGGCGGGCGCGGGGGAAGCGGTCGATGACGTGCCACAGGCAGCCGAAGGCCGGGTCGGGCCCGCGCTCGGGGTACCGCAGGGCGGAGAAGGCGCAGGCGAGACGGCGGACGCGGCGGGCGTCGCGGGGGCGCAGGAAGCGGACGACGGGGGTGTCGAAGCCGTAGCGGTCGCGGGGGTCGAGGGCGCCGGCGAGGTAGAGCGCGTCGAGGCGGAAGTTGAACCAGGCGCGGGGCGGGCGGGCGACGACGGCGGCGAGAGGGGCCGGGACGCGCCAGGAGAAGGCGAGCTCGTAGTGCGCGAGGCCCAGGGCGCGGGACTCGCGGCAGACGAGGAGGAGGACGGGACAGGTGGGGTTGAAGACCATGGGCCCCGCCGCCGCCACCGCCTCCGGGCACGCTGGCGACGACGACGACGACGACGACGAAGAGGGCTTGCAGGGGGCGGGGACGGAGCGGGCGGGCAGACGGTCGTCGCGCTCGAAGCAGCAGGCGGCGACGACGCGGGGGGCGACGAGGTAGGACCAGATCTTGAGGCGGATCTCCGGGGGCAGGTCCGGGAAGCGGTGGAAGCGCGGAAGGGTGTCGGCTGCGGCTGCTGCTGCTGCTGCGGCGGCGGTGGCGGCGTCGAGGCCGTCGTCGAAGAGGGAGAAGTCGATCCAGAACTGGGGGGCCGAGGTTATCCGCGCGCCGCCCGGGCGGGTCTCCTCCTCCTCCTCCTCCTCCTCCTCCTCCTCCTCCTCCTCCTCCTCCTCCTCCTCCTCCTCCTCCTCCTCGTCGTCGGGCGGGGCGGCAACGGTGGTGGTGGTGGTGGTGGTGGTGCTTCCGGCGGCGGTTTCGGCGACCGGTTCGGTGTCCATGACGATGAAGATGGGAAATGGGGGAATGGACTGTGGGGAGGCGGGCAGTGGCGGAATAAGAGGGTGGGCGCGCTGTTCCGCGGGTTCCAGGGTGAGAAAAACGGCGGCGCCCTCTAGGGAATGCAGCTCATGTTCGGTCTTTTTTTCTTTCTTTTCTTTATATGAGGGCGGGATCGAGCGAAAACGGCGCAGAGGTGTGCGGCGTGAGAAGGACGACTTCGGGGGGGTTGGACGAGATGAGGTCCGAAGGGGGGCCCCGGCCGCCGGCCGCACCGCGACGACGACGCACGCCCGGACACGCACACACACAGCCAACTTTCCTACTTGGGCCACAACTTGGCCGCCTCGTCGCCTCGACCGTCCAAGGGGCACCGCGTTTACATCAGAGCATCTCATGTTTGCTTGTTGAATTGTTTTCAGCCGCGGACAAGCCACGGCCGAGTTCGTGTCCCGCATACGTCACCGGGTGAGGCGGTCCTTTGTTTTTGTTGTTTCTTCCCGCTTGGTCCTCGGATAGGAGAGGGGCGCAAATGAGAGGTTGTTTGGTCTAGGGTATCTTGGAATGATCTACATGCTTGCTTCCGCGTTGTTCTGGTTTTTTTTTTTTTTTTTTTTCTCTTTTTTTTTCTTTTTTCCACCAGCCACCGTTGCCCTCGCCGGACCAGCACGCAGTCCCCTGGCTTCTCCCTCTCGCGACGTGTGCCCAGATATCGTACCCCGATTAGAAAGTACCAAAAAAGTAAAGAGTTTCGGCGAGCACAAAGGAAAAGTCACCATCTATCCATCTACCGTTCTCCTCCAATGACCTGGATCGCTACAAAGTCGCCTCCCCGTCCGGCTGGTGCTCCCGGGTCCTGATGTTCTTCTCAACGGCACCACCCTTGCGGAACCAGCTGAGGATGTAGACGCCCTCGTATATGGCGTTGCTCTGCTCGCCATCGCCGTCTCCGGCCTTGCCGATGTACACGTTGCCCAGCAAGGAAGCGAGTACAGTGCACTGCGGACACACTCCGTGTTAGCTCTCTGCGACGACGCGGCGCCCTCGGCGAACAGACTCACGAGAACCATAAAGGGGGTGATGGCGACAAAGGCCCAGACGACGCCCATCTTGGCATCGTGGGTGAAGCGCTGCTGCACCGCGTCGGGGAGGCCCTTGAGCGATCCAAAGTTCCTCAGCGGCGAGTCGCTGCCGATCCCCGACGCGTTGTTGAAGACGGTCGTCATGATGGTCAGGCCGAGGGTCCCGCCAAAGGGGTAGGCGACGGCCATGAGGGAGATGACGGCCGCGATCTTCTTGGGGAAGTAGCCGATGCCGTGGAGTTGGACTGGTCCAAAGTTAGCCGTGCGGCCCATGGGCAAGGGCTGAGAGGTCCCGTGAGAGAGACTCACCAGGCATGAGGCGCAGGCCGGTGCCGACGCCGGTGAGCGCCATCATCCCGTAGACGGTCGGGTCGTGCTCGGTGTTGATGGCCCAGGCCAGCAGCGCGACGCCCGTCATCTCGAGGACGGACCCGATGAAGATGGGCGGGAACGTCTTGCGCGGCCACGCGTTGCACATGAGAGCGGACGCGTAGACGCCGACTGGAAACCGACGCGTCAGTAAGCTCCTCGGTTTTGAGCACGAGGGGGAAGGGGCACTCACCTCCCAGGCCCGGAGCGAAGTACAGCAGCTGCACGCCGGCCTGGTCCGCCGTCCTGAGCTTCACCATGGTGAAGTAGATGTTGCAGAAATACAGCACCGAGTACATGGCCATGCCGGTGGCGAACGAGGTGTAGAAGAGGAGGCCGACGTCCCTGTTGCGGATCAGCTCCCACGGAACCATGGCCTTCTGCCACGGGAACCGGCGGGCCAGGGCCATGCCGGGGGCCATGTGGTACTCCCAGGCGACGAAGGAGACGCTGATCAAGAATCCGAGGATGAGCGTCACGAGAACGGCGGGGCTCGTCCAGGAGTACGTCGCGCCGCCCCACGTCAGGCCGAGGATCAGCAGGCCGAAGCCGAACAGGAAGAGGACCTGTCCCCCGACGTCGATCGTCTGGAGACGTTTGACGAACGTCGTCCGTCGGCCGGTATCGGTCGTCTCGTCGAGCTGGGGGATCGGCTGGGGGCCTAGGAGCTCTGACCGGAGGACGAAGTAGATGGCGAGCATGCTGGCGAAGGCGATGGGCAGGTTGATGCCGAAGCACCATCGCCAGGACGACCCGCTGATGATGTAGCCTAAAGTTTTTGGTAAGACGAGGCCGTCTCAGAAGCAAGCTTCCGCGTGGCCGACTCACCTCCCACGACAGGACCGAGCCCCCATCCCAGGACGCCGCCAAGGAAGGAGAAGACGGACCAGTTCTTTGCGTTCTCGCGCAGCGTCACCTTGTCGGCGAGGATGACGCGGACCAGGACGTTCAGCCCGGCGCAGGCCAGGCCCTGGAACGCGCGCCCGAGCAGGAGGACGGGGAAGGCGGTGAGGGGCGCGCCGGTGCAGAGCGCGCTGCCCACGAGCATCAGCACCAGACAGGCCTGCATCGAGACGTGGCGCCCAAAGATGTCGGCCATCTGGCCCCAGAAGGGGATGAAGGCCGCAGACGTGAGGTTGAAGGCGGCGATGATCCAGTTGAGCTGGCCGGTCTCGTCTGTGTATTTGGTTAGACGGCGGGAACGACAAGACGGAGCGCCGGAGGGCGGGGGGGGGAGGAAGCTTACTGAAGTCGGCTGCAATCCAGGGAAGTGCGCTTGCGACCTGTATCAGACGTTGTTTGTCAGTCATGATCCAGACTTGTATGCGTATACTCGGTCGGCTCTCACAATCGTGACGTCCAGGGCTTGTAAGACGAAGGGGAGAAGCAGGCCGGCGAAGACCCTGCATCTGTATGTGAGCTGCGCTCGCCGGGCAGACTTGCACGTCGGACACGGCCCCGCGGTGAGGTCATGTTGATGGTCGCATGTTGACGCGTTCGGTTTTGTGACTCGTGTCGCCGGGCCATTCTTATCACGGTAGGTCCCTTCTTCGGTTGTCGGCGTCGATGTCGGCTGTTGTGTCTTGCCCGGACGCTTGAGTGACCGGTAAACCTTCTTTCCCAAGTATATGAGAACCATGCTGGCGATCTTGTCTGTCTTGGTACTGATATAGACGAGGACCTGTTCTTTATGTTCCTAGTCAGGAGAGCCCGTCCTGGCAGAGGCTTAAAGGACGACTGTTGAGGAGTTCTGGCCAGGGTACAAGAGACTTGATATCCAGGAGAGAAGGGTATAGCTAGTTCTATGGTCTATAGATCTACTGTTTGGATTCATGGGGACAAGCGGCATATATATACATATTTACATATATATATATATATATGTATATATGTATATATGTATATCCACGAACACTTCCCAAATGGGAAGGCGATTCGAAACAGAACAGCCCATCGTGAAGACAGGGCCGTATACCAAGCCATAAAGGCTGGGGCGAAGCAAAGAGGGAATGCTCCCGACAGGGAGTCCATTCGCCGGCGAGTTCCGGCCAAGACTCGCAAAGAGCTGCGTGCTTACGCGGAATAGAGACGAACTAAGCGTTCGGCTGACTTTGGGAGCGTGTGCATGTAAGACGGATCGTCAAGTTAGTGCCAAGTCAGTGCCAAGGCGGAGCCCTACCGCCCAACAAGCTTCTGTTCACGTTGGCAGGTACCTAAGCGAATGCGATAAAGCGGAGACCGCCCGATTCTCTAGTCCTGACGCCAGCTGTAAAGCGTCAGGTGACAGCTGACGGGGGAAAGATGCCAGGTTGCAAGCGTGTCTGTCTCTCTCTCTCTTTCATCCTTCTTGTTACCTACACCTACACCTACACCTACATCTACACCTACATCTGCACCTACACCTTGCTCACACTCAGCGTGCCGACTAGGCAAACAGACAAAGATTCAAAGTATCGCCGAGGACTCTTCGTGACCTGCCGGATCGATCCTCCCCAGGCTGTCCCGTCAGCCCAACGCCCACCGCCACGTCTCCAGCAAACCCAAATGCGGGGGCTCACCCGCCTCGAATGCATTTCCCAAACTGGAAACGTCGAAATTCCTAGCAAACCGCCATGCGGGCCCGCCTCGAATGGATGTCCCAAACGGGAAACGTCGAATCGGAACTGCTGCGCCTCTCAGCGATAATGTCCCTGTCGCGCTAAAAACGACGCCGTTAATTGCGGGCAGCACAACTAACGCCTTATATCACCTCGTGACAGTCCCTATGCGCCTCGCATCGTGGCCCGGAACCCGGCACGGTAGAACGGCGGTTGACGGATCCGTCTAGCCCTCAAACTCGGTCATCTCTCATTATATCTCATTCCAGGATTGCGACATTGGGTGGGACCCTGTCAAGCTGACCCGAGTTCGGCCGCGGGCACAATGATATAGGCAGCCGTCCCCCACTCGGAGGTGGCCTCCGTACCGCAACCACTAAGAAGGCAACGCAAGCTCATCACTCCATTGTGCGGGCGCCTCCCTCGAATGGCATTACTCCAAGTGGGCGTAGCTCTGGTCGCTATCGCCAGTAGTGGCCTGGCTCAGCCTCTTGTCGGCCCCGTCAACGTCCGCTCTCTACCGCTCTATCTCACGAAAGGTGGGCGCCGAGAGATTGGAGGGATTCCTGGACGGTCCGGCCGAAAGGTCCACCGACCCGGAGACCAGGGTATGCGGCACCTAGCAGTTCGGCGAGAGGTGTCATCGACGGTCACATGGCTGCCCACCTCCAGACATCACAACAAAGCGAGTAGGTTTTCGTATCCACTTGGCCCATTCAGGATGTCCTACCGGGGCGGAAAAGATTGTAAGGACCGTCATCTTGACTTTATGTGATGTGGCAAACGAGTGTATTGAGTCTGCAGCGGTAGGGCATGGCCTGGCGACTCTGGTTTGAGGAACGAGCGGCATAAAAAGAGGGTGGTTGTCTGAGAAGGCGTGCTTGCGGGATGGCTTCTTCAGACCGGAACTACTGCCCTTACGCGATGGACTCTCCGTACTTATGTCCGCACTCCCTTCCGCGCCGTTTGTCGCCCGATGCACGATGGAGATGGAGGGAGGAATTGACTGATAAGCTCCCCTGAGACGATGCGTAATTCGACATGGGCAGCACCAGAACCAAGCGTTGCGGTGGTCGCATTGGGTCATTCTTATGCTGTATTAGATACTAGTACTATTGGGTATTATCGCGAGGCTTGACTACGCCTCCCCCAGTCCTACGCTATGCTGGGCGCGCTTGCGTACTAGGCGGAGATGGTGTACGCCACCGAGTCCCCAATGGCGTCCTCCGCCTCATCGTCGCGGTCGTAGTCGTCCAACGTCGTGGCACCGCCTCTGAAGACGTAACCGAACCAGTAACGGCCGCCTGTGCTGCCGCTGTTGATGCCTGCAGAGTATCACGAAGAAACGTCAGCCGAGGGGGACGTTCCCTTCCTCCGGACGCCACGACGGACGTCGGAGTCTTACAAGATCACAAGCGGAAAGCAGGAGGTGATGGAGCGGAAGGGGAAAGGCGCGTACCCGAAAAAGTCATGCTGGAGGTGCAGGCCGTGTAGGTCTTGCACTTTTCCAACACGTAAGCGGCCCAGGTGTCGGAGGTGTAGTCGCCGAGCTCGGCGTGGTACGAGGCGATGACCTGGCTCGGGAAGAGCGGCGCGCCGGCCACCCAGTTCAGGGGGGACGGCAGCGCGACCTTGACAAAGGTGGCGTTGCGAGGCTCGAGGGGGGCAGCGGAGACACCGGCGGAGGCGACGGCGGCGACCGTGGCGAGGATGGACTCGAATCTCATGGCTGCTTCGGTCTGTTGTTGCAATTGATGCTGGATGCTGTTTTTTTTAATGCTTGATGTGTCCGGGGGAACGGAACGGAACGCGGACGAGACGCAGAGGGGCCGGTGCGAGTTCGGGCGACAGAAGAGACAGACAGACAGACAGAAAGACAGAAAGACAGACGAGACTGAAGAGACAGAGAGCGCGTGGGGTGCCACGACTGCAACGTCTACTGGGGCGGTCGCCTTCCATCTACTTATACGCGCCAGCCCAGCGGCCCATAATGGAGCGGAGACCGACCCGCACCCCCCGCCTCGTTGCAACTACCGGCGGCGGCTTATCGTGTTGACGGCATCGTGGGGGATTTCCACCGCGAGGATGCACCCAAGCGCGGTGTTGAACACGCATCGGGAAGCAATAGATCGGGGACACGGGTCCCATGCCCTCCAGGAAAAAGACGATAAAGGGAAGGTGGAGATATCTTGGGATATATATCCTCGCGCCCGGAGCCAATGGGCGGGCAGATTCGGTCTCGCGGGCGTCCCTGTCCGATCCGAGCGCGTTTTGCCCCGACTGATAAGTAACGATGAACCACTTGCCTAAGTCGGCCGGGTTGAATAAGCTTTGTCACGATTAGCCGAGATTGCGTTCTGGAGCAAGGGTCTCTTTGGGAGATTGATCCCGCCGTTGTTATACCTATTGCCTATCACATATACCCCCGCGTCACATACACGCGTACTCGAGTCAGCGCTTGTTTTCAACGTCATTTTCGACCATGTGCAGGCACAGGACGCATTCGAAAGAGCAACAACGAAGTCCTTGATAAGCTGATGCTAGGATATTAGACAGCGGCCGTGCAAAAAAAAGAGACATACCGAACGCGTACACAGTACAGAGTATACAGAGTCAAACATGCGACATGTCCAACCACTGCCCCCCCCAAACAGACGCATCAGCACATCATCAGCGCGTACCTTGGAGCAGCACCCCTCTCCCACTCTCCCACCCCCGGCCAAACGTCTCCGTCTCCGCCCCCCGAGTGGCATTGAGGACCGTCACCGCCGTTAGCCTGCCATGTGGATGACTCGTTCTTGTCCGTCGATACTCGGGTGGGCGATTCCCGTGCCGTTGGTCCTCCCGTTGTTATCCGGTTGTCAGATTACTTCCACCGGGCTGCTCCCGAATTTGTCCACGGATAGGCTCGAATAATTTGTCAAGTACACCTACGTGCTGACAGCTGAGGAGCGGACGACTCCTCTGATCGGGTCGCCATCCCTGATAGCGTCCGAAAGGCGGCTCAAGAACAGCGTTCCGGCCCCTTCGGCCCTACCGTAGCCATCCGCGGAAGCATCGAATGTGTGGCATGTGGGTTTTGGGGACAAGATGTCCGGCTTGGTCGTGTTCATGCGCTGGTCGACCGTCGTGATCATGTTGGGGTCCAGATAAACTCTCTTTGACCGTGGCTGTGTTCTTAAGAACCTGGTCGCACAAGCTGGTCGATTCATCCGGATTACAAACCCCTTCTCAACGAGGCTGTTGAGGTGTCACCAGAGGCATCCTGCTTTAAGTCTACTTGATAGGATGGAGGAAGATCTAGATGTGGTTAAACAATAAGCTATAAACATCCAGCTTTTGCCCCAATTATTAGCTGCCAAAGCACAAAGGTATTTAGATTGTGTTCTATAGCGGCAGTGCGAGCAGGCTAGAAGACTACTTAGCTCAGCTCGCAGAGGTACAGTTCTATAATAACATAGACATCAAGATTTCTGTATTAACAATATAGTACTTAACTAATAATTATTACTACTCCTACTAGCAGTTTCCTTTCTACTTGGCTTCACACTTCATGGCACTATATAGTAGCTTATCATATTGCTACGTCGACGACGCTGGCGATGATCCTGCGCAAACATGACATTTACCAGGCATGGTCTCCCCAGCCTGCTGAGCCTGCCCTCGCTGATCAGCAGGGCAACACTGCCCCGCGGCTCGTGCAGCTTCACACCAGGTGATGTCATAGGCTCGGTTGCACCTACACTTGAAACGGTAAAACTGGTTGTCGCACATGTTGTGTTGTTTAAACTAGTGTATTAACTAGTTTTATGCTAGACTAGGAACTTCAACTTTAATTCTCTACTATTCTGGCTAAGTCTTACCTTGAATTATGTAGAGTTGGACGTAAGAGAGAAAGAGACGAACATAGGGCAAACATGACTGACATTAGATAGTGCCATCTGTTAAGTGCAGGGTCAAGACCTGCCTGTTTCATGCTTGACCTTAATGCCTAAGGCATAAATACTGTTTCTAATGACGACTCCTCAACAACCTATCGCTCTCTTCACCCATCTACCCAACAGCACTTACCATGGAATTAAAGTATTCTCACAAACCAGAACCGGGTGAATCATTAGCCCCTCAAAGGTACTGTTTCAGAGTCAGATTAGAAGAAATTCCTGGTGTGCCTTTACAGCGCTCAATAACCCTTGTCAACGACTTCATTTTACAAAATTTCCAACGAAATTTCACTTGGGATAAAGACTATGTGCATACGCCGCACAACATTGATGGAAACGGAAAGCAATGGATACTTCTCGATGTGGATACAAATACTTCGCCTAAGCCCAATTATGAGGACGTAATGTTGCATGTGTATCGAGTTAGTGTTGTTGGAAACAAATTGTAAGTGTCCTTCCTGTTGCGTTTAAGCTTCATGCTGGCTCACTATTTCGTGTGTAGCAGTTATACAAAGACTCAATATTCAGATATCAGAAGGTACACGTTCATGTTCCCATGGGGTGGTCGGAAACAGGCGACCGACTCTCGGCCAAACACTTGAGGTTGTCAAGCCAAAAACGAGGGAACACGATTAAGGCACCCCTATTTCCAAGGCATTTGAATGCCGGTTATGTGGTCAGTACGGGTTTCTTGAGATTCAAACCCTGAAGTATGTGGAACGCTGTGGGTAGAAATAGCTCAAAGACTGTTATCGATGGCGAAGCGTTTCCGAACTAAATCTCGAAGTGGACGTTCTGCAACTCAGCTTCGAAAGGTTTCAGCGATTCTTGAGGTGTATAAGTACTGATATTCTTTAATAGGCTTATTCTCCAAGGTGAATATCAAGTCAAATACAGTATTATTGCTGAAATACAAGACGTACGTCGCCTAGAAATACCCTTCTCTCTGTGGGCCAACCTATTCGTAATCCACGCCTGTGGCGCTTACCACCGGTACCAGCCACACGAAGCGGTTCCAGTGTCACGACACCTCTTTTTTCCTAGGCCTGTGTAGTTCTTCTCTTTACCTGCTAGACGGGTCTGTCCTATTGTACACAGTCTCCGTTGGCTCCACTCTCTTCTCGCTCGCAGGCCTATGTTCATTAGATGTTGTTGTCTGTGTCGCTGTTTTATAGCACTTACTTGTATCCATTCACGTTCACTCCTACTCCACTGGCAGAAGAAGGTTCCGTGGCGGTCAATGCCGACCTGGTGTGGACAAGCGTAGCCAGTGATCGTGTTATGCTTAGTGTGATTGTATATACAACTATGCATTGTGAGTAGGAACACTTAGTATTATGGGAGATAGGTGTTATACTAGCACCGCAACGCTAGAGATTCTGCAGCTAGCAGAGACATAGTAAAGAGAACGAGCTTCATGATAAAGGATGTTGAAATTGGTAATATAGCGGTTTTCAAAAGGTTAAATATACTGTGTGAGTGTGCTGTTTTAGATATTAACAAAAACAGTGATGGGGAATATCTACGCCTTATATATTTTCTACCCTCTCTATTTGATCAAAGGATGAAGTAGTCATCTGTTAGCTAATATAACCAAAGCTTTTACTCTGACCTCTAATTGGTTACTATGACCTGGTAATAATATTACGTAGTACAGTAGTTATAAGAGTAAGGCATAAACTAATTATATAGTTATTCTTATAATAGTACTTACGTATTATAAATCTCTATACATCTAATTAATTTAAGTTAAAATACTATATACTAGATATATAATCCTTCTAATACTCAAGGCTTAGTAGAGTAAATATAGTGAATTTTATTTACTTATATACTTTTACTACTAATAACGTATACGTATAGCGAGTTGCCTATCATAGTGAGCTGCCTACCTTAAGAAGAGTGGGGTATTCCTGGCTAGGCTGCACGCAAAACCACTGTTAGGAAATTGTCAAGGCCCTTACCAATTATGTAACAGTGTTTTTGCGTGCAGCCCAGCCAGGAATACCCCACTTTTCTTAAGGTAGGCGGCTCACTATGATGGGCGACTCGCTATGCGTGTACGTTATACTTAAGGCAATTGATCGGGATGCACCAGGAATTGATACGGACGCACCGGTCTTACGGACGCAACGCTGTTTCCTTTTCTGATTGGTTCAAAAAATTACTGTTAGTGCGACCAAATTCTGCCAGGCCCACAGGAGGTAGCCCATCGCGGCAGCCCAAGGGGGTCCTTTTTGCGGCCGTGAAGGATAGCAGTGTTAGTGCAATTGCCCTTACCGCCTTTATAGCGATGTACTGTTTTTTCAAGCCAATCAGAAAAGAGAATAGCGGTGCGCCCATAAGGCCGGTGCGTCCGTATCAATTCCTGGTGCGTCCCAATCAATTCCCATACTTAAATACTATTTTAATATATTATAATTCCTAGTGGAAAAGTTACATTAAAGGCGTTCTCGCTCTACTTTGTCGCCGGTAGGGTGTATAGAAAATAATGTAGACAAGGCGTCCAAAGCACTACATTGAGTAGTTAGGTAGTTGTATATTACCTAAAACCTACAAGTTATAATTTACTCTAAATATCGTTGAACACATATATGCTAGCACTTGGCAGCAGTTACCCTGGTCCCCTGTTGCAGAGAATCTTCTCTGCGCAAGTACACCAGAATTTAAACAGAGCCGTTGGTGCAGGTTGTGGCTAAGTCTTATAAGCGCGGATTTGGCTTGCTGTGTCTGCTCATCTTGATTACGCAAAGCACGTTATTACAAACCAGCTTGAAGAAGAACGACTTCTTCGGGGTCTCCTTGCTCAGTTCGGAGGCATTCCTAGACATCCCACCCCGCGAATGATGTTGACGCAGAAGTCAATGGGATACAAGCTTTGTTTGATTGAGATGATATTGGAAGAAGCTTGAATTCTGTTCAAAAATGATCAATATTCATTGAAGGCAGTTGCAGCCCTATATTTACTTTCTGCTTCTTTTGTAACATATCCTCATCGGGATCAACTCACTGCCCCATTTCTGTCTTTATCTCATGCAGAGGATCAACTGCTACTCCATCTTCCACAAGCACCAGCTCACCAACTCTGCCCATGGCATATTCGACCTGCCTCCAAGTCGTCAAGCTCCTGATACTTGAGTCGAGTTCCTAAACCCGTATCCCTCGATAATATAGCGTTCCGCCATACGAGCAATATCCCCCGAACCCACTACCACCTTGTCATACAGTGATATAAGGCGTTAGTTGCTGCCATGCAATTAACGGCGTCGTTTTTGTGTGCGACACACCTGCATAACACAGCCAGGGGCCAGACTGAGGGGCTTTTTTGCCATTCTGCGGCGTATGTTGTGGCAGAAGACCGCAAAAAGTGTTTACATGATCGTGCCCACAGCCGAATGCTGATACGCCTTCTTTGACCAACGCGTCGTAGAAGTGAGTATTGAAACTGGGACTTTCAGACGGTTCCCCCCGGTTGCCGTTGCGTATACTAAGACGAGGGTCACCGAACTCGGGAAGAGGGATGTGTTGGAAAACTAAAGACAGATGAAAGGCATTGTTGCTATTGTCCTTCTCACGCGCACGTGGTTGCGCGCGAGAAGTGTCCGTAAACTAGTCGATTTGGCTTTGCCTGATGGGGTCGTAGTCAGGATTGCGTCTCTCGCTCAAGATTCCACCGTGCGAGTCCAGGAAATATAAAGTCAATACCGGGATCTGCGACGGCGCGGGAGCCAGGACCTGAAGGCAGAAGTTACCGATGCCGTCAACATGCTCTGGGCCTGGCTTGCAGAGGCTGAAAGGCAGGTTCTGAAGTATTAACATTTGTTTAGCGCCTGTAATCTAGTTAGCAACAAGGAACAGCTATTATAGAATGCAGAGGTATCGTGGGAGCAGGGCAGTCTACCCTGTTTGCGAGACTGCAAAGAGATTACTCACGTGATAATGCGTAAGTGCCCTCACTATCCTGATTACCAAAGACGGCTGCAAATGGGATCGAACGCTTGATGGTTGGAGCAACTACCTTGAAGAGGGCAGACTTGCTGTCAGGGATGTTGTGGTGCAACTGATCTCCAGTAAGGATCACAATGTCTAGTTTTTTGATATCTAAGATCTTTCCAATGAAGTCAACCGTAAGATGGTCAGCCTCGCTAGGTGGCAGATGTTCCCCATGGACACCGAGAGCATCATCGCACACCCCGACGCCAGTGACCATGTGTGTGTTAGAGATCTGAACAATCTTGAATTTTCTACCTTTCCTTACTCTTAAAGTAGCCTGATTATCTGGTTTTGGCTTTGGCCTGCCGTAGAGCACGCTAAGTCTTGCATTCGGTACCTCTGGCTGGCCAAGTTCGAGCGATGATGGCACGAGAACCCATTGTGGTCGCGGGTCAACGGCGTCCTTGCCAAAAAGAACGTCCACCTCTGTCACAGACCGGTCATTCATGCAAGAGAACTTGCTTCTTCTCAGCACCCAGATTCCGCTAGGTCGACTCTCCCATGATCGACCTGAGTTAGGTTCGGGGGGCTGGTCGCCGAGTCTGATATCTATGACCAGTAGGTTCCCGCTGGTTCCCCAGATTCATTGCTTCCTGTCTATTCCCTATGAGGGTTAAGTTGGCTGTCTAGATCCCGTGCCGAAGCCCGTTCCCTAGTAGCGTGGACAGATCTCCCGGAAGAAGTTTGTCACGTGGAGGAAGGCCTCAAGGCCTTTTGGGTCAGTCATTAGTCCCTTGAAGTATTGTTCGAGGGATCCAATAGGTCCTATGGGGTCGAGAGGACCAGTTGGGTAGAGGGTGGGCCACTGCTGCCTCCTCGCCAGGATCGCTGGGCAGTAGACCAGATGATCTACGTCCTTTGCCTCCCCGCAGGAGCAGGTCAGCAGGGCCTCGGTGTGGTTAAAGCGTCGGTGATAGTGTTCAAAGTCCCCGTGACTCGACCGGGCCGCTAAAAGGTGGTGGAGGGTGCTCCGTGGTAGGGCGAATTCGGGAGGTCAGGGGAAGTATAAACTTAGGCCAAGCTGGGTATACCGTTCTGTCGCCTCTCTACCCCACCACTGCCTGTACTGATTTCGCAGCCACTCTCTACCAAGCCGTCTGATCCCAGAGAGCGTAGCCAGTTGGCCTAGAGGGGCCGGCAGCGCTGTGCCTTCCTTGGCTAGCCGGTCTGCCTCTTCGTTGCCCTTAATCCCCTGGTGTCCTGGCGCCTAGTGGGTGTGGATGTTGTACATTCTAGCAGCCGCTTGGATCTCGAGCACCGCTGCTTGTGAGGAGTCTGGGGCCTCGCCCCGTATCCCTTGGATGATACTGGTGTTGTTGATGCAGATGTGTATCGGTTGGCCTTGGGAGGTTAAGAGGGCCCGCCGGAGTCCTATCCTCGCACCTTCCGCCTCCGCGTCGAACACCTCTGCTAGACCGGGTCGACCGCAGCCCTGGGCCACGCGCCTGTTGCTGCGGTAGATGACAAACCCGTATCCTGTGGCTCCGTTCGTCGCTCTGGATCCGTCTGAGAAGACAACCATGTGGTTTTCTGGTACGGTCTTTAGCCAGGCCTGGAAAGCTTTGGCTGCTTCTTTCTTAGTCTGTATGACGATGAGGTCTTGTGACCCTGGGAGGTACTGCGGTTGGATGAGTGCAGGTCTCGGGCATTTTGGTGCAAGGTCTGCAGTCCGTTGGAGCTTCGTCTGCTGCCGCCCTCGTTGGGGGAGCCTCGGGATAAGAGGGTGTTGAGGGTCAACCTTCTTTAGACGTGTTGCGAAGCGTAGGCGGACTCCTTCCAGGGCCACCTTGCTTGGTGGTAGTCCAGCATCCCGAAGGAGGCTGCGTATCAGAGTTGTTTTCCAGGCCGGCAGGATAGCCCTTGCCGCTGCCGTGATGACGCTTTCGACCTTACGCGCAAGGCTCTTCTGGCCTGTACTGACTGTGCCCGTCTGGCGGGAAAGGTTGCCGCCGGCATCGGTGGCTCTGCCAGGGGCTGGCTTGGTCATACCTCCACACCAGGTCTCGGCCCCGTAAAGGGCGATTGGCAGGACGCAGGAAACCACAGCCTTGCGTACAGCAGCGGCCGGGAGCCCGCCTTTTGTGTTGTTCAGGTGTCTAAGATGCTGGGCCGCCTTCGCCGCCGCAGCCAGCTTTGTTTCAAGTTTCAACATGGTGTCGGAAAGAGAGCCTCTTGTCGAACCAGACCCCTAGCCAACGGATGGGCTCCGTTGATGCTACGATTCTAAGGTGCCTCGCCTTGATCTCTGGCAGATCTCTTTGTTGGTCATGTTTTCTTGTGAAGTGGATAGTCTCGGACTTCTTCGGGTCAAAGGCGACCTTATTCTCAGTTCCCCAGTCGAGGATACGTGTGATCTCTTGACCGAGGGTCACAGCATTACTCTCAAGGGAGGGGCCTATAGCCAGAAGCCCGATATCGTCTGCGTATCCGAATCGGCGCTTCGGATCTTCTGCTAAGATATCTGCGATATATAGCAGAAAAAGAATAGGTGACAGCGGGGAGCCCTGGGGCAGCCCGCAAGCCAGCGGGAAGTCCTCTGTCGTTGCGTCCTCCAGCCTGACTCTGGCAGTTCGGTTCGAGGCAAAGTGGAATATCAGTCTGATCAGGCTGTGAGGCCAGCCTTGTTGTTGTAGTCGGACAATCAGACGGTTCCGAAGGACAGAGTCAAAGGCCCCTTGGACGTCCATCGTCACCATCGTAGCTGTGAGCCCCTTATCCAGAGCCATTTCGATGTCGTGGGCGAGGCAGGTGGTCGGGTCAACCGCTGACCTGCCAAGTAGAGCCCCCAATTGTTGTGGGCTTGTCACCCCTTCTAGGATGGTAAGGTAGGACATTCTTCTGGCTATCAGCCTTTCGAGACCTTTCCCAAGGCAAGATGGTAGGGCTATTGGCCGCCAAGACCCGGCTTTTGAAAAGTCTGTTTTGCCTGCCTTCTGGATCATAGCGACCTCCGCTCTGCGGAAAGGCTGAAGGAAGTAGCACGTTTGTATGCAGGCTTGGAACAGTTGTCTGACAGGCTCAGATATAAGATCCCAGCAAGCCTGGAGCGGCCGTGTTGTGATCCCGTCTATGCCAGGCGTCGTGGTCTTTACCAAGGGAGCCCCCCTCAGCTCTTCTCTACTGATGGCATCCTGCCAGGGTATCCGTCGTCGAGAGACCGTAGGGACGTCGAACGGGTCCCCAGGGAGATCGTCCTGGGCACTGAACCTCTCCAGAAGGGCCCTTCGGAGTGCTTGGGCCTTACCCTGAGTGTCGTCGATCGTCTGACCCTCCACTATCAAAGGGGGGGCTTTGACCCCTAGGCTAGCCTTTCGCCAGCCCATAATCTTGTAGAGTTCTTGGTCCGAGGTAACTCCTTCGATCTTAGCAGCCCAGTAGGCCCGCTTAGCTTTCCTGACTGTACTCAAGAAGACCTTCTGCTCTTCGAGGACAGCAAAGCGTGGGGTGTGAAGGTGTAGGGTCTGCTCTAGTTCTTGGGCTCGTTGGCAGCAGGCCTCGCGGTACGTTCGGTGGGCTTCTGCGCACTCCTGTGTCCACCAAGGGGCCCCTTTCCTATGCTTTCCTCGACGCTTCCCTACAGCCTGGATGGCCGTGGAGAGAAGGCTGACTATTCGTCCTGCTTGGGTGTCCAAGTCAGCTGCGGTGGGCATGTCCTGAAGAGGAGGCAAGACTGAGGCTCCTCCTCTGAACAGGTCTCTAAACCGGGGTAGAGCTGAGTCTGGGACTGATAGTGACTGTGGTTGGTCTGTCTGTTGTTGCCGGTGCTTTTGAAGCGGGATCGTTGAGATAATTGCTTGATGATCGACCCCTGGGTGAAGGTGCGGGCTGACCGCTGCGTGTGCGAGGGGAATATTCGAGAAGGTAAGGTCAAGTACATGGCCCTGGGCATGGGTCGCCGTCCCTGTCTCGCCGATGAATGTCAGGCCGTGGCCATCTGCCCAGTCTGCTATGTCGTTTCCCTTATTCCTGCTCCTCGATCCGGGCTTCCAGGAGTAGTGGCACGCGTTAAGGTCCCCTGCTACGAGGACCCTTTCTGGCGGCCTGTATCCTAGGAGGGTTGTAGTTGTGTGATTGTGAGGGTCTCCTGGTTGTCTGTATACGTTAACCACAGTAATTGCGTTATCAACTGTGATCTATAGGATGTTCATTGTCTGGATAGGCCTCTGCTGCTGGGCCTTCCACTTCATCCCTTGTATTCGGCCTGAATACCACCCGCAATGACGCTTAGGTAGAGAGGAAGGGAAAAAGAAGGAGGGGAAAGTGATAGAGGAGGGCCAAGGTATAGGGATAAACGACTTATGGCAGAGTATCTACTATATATCTACATTAACACCAGGAATAGCATAACAGGGATAAAGTGTAGGCTTTTGGCACTAGAAAGAGTTTATAGCGATATATTAGCTAGATAATCCAAATCAACTATTGTTAATTAACTAAGTCAACTTTGGCCTTGAGGTTGGTTGGTTGAAGTGAAGCCATTTATAACGTTGACTAGTTGGTTGATGAAGTTGGTTGATGGGGTTGTTCTGAATGAAGCGCTGGTCTCTACTAGAAACAACAGCAGCCCTTTTCGTCTCAGTCTTTCTGCAGGCGGCAAGTCACTCCATCTCATTACAACACTCTCTCAAAAGTTATGTCGGGTACAGATCGTCGTAAAACCCTCAGCACAACTCTGTAGGTGGTTAACAGTAGAAAGCTTATAGTTCTAATACAACTTACATAGTCATCGACTTTCGTATTCATAACACGGCATGCATCCCCTACCATCGACCCCTTACCGCGGCAAGCAGCTTGAGTCTGAGCATCATTAGTCACACCGTCCACACGGCACCTATGCTTAGTTAAATATTGTGTCAGACAAAAGGTTTCAGCATTACTTACCAGCAGTTCCACAATTTGGGAATTTTGGCTGCCTGAGAGGTAGCAAGAAGAAGAGTAAAAGTAAAAGCGTTAAAGAACCTCATTGTGTAGATAGAGAAGTTGAGAGCAAGCTTGGTTTGTAAGGTAACGTAACTAGTAATATTGATTGTAAGAGGTCATCTTTATGTAGTAAAATAGAGGTTTATATGTCTATTCTACTCTACCTTCTTCTAGACAGTTTCTATTAGAGAAGGAATATAAAACAAACGTTTTAAACTTATGTGTACAGAAGAAAAAGTATTTAGAGTAGCCTGAAACTTAAATAAATATCATCACTATTATTAAAAGTAAGAGGTACTTAAAATGAGGTCAATCTTAGGAAGAGTAAAGTCTATATTATTTAATGTAGTAGAGCATAAAATACCACAGGGAATACACAGCTAAAAGTCTTACTAGAAGTGTGATAGAAACTGTAATAGAGATAACCGTATTTATTACTAGGAATGTTGGAATATCAATACTGATGATCGTACGACACCTAGTCAGTCAATCATGAATGGTTCATGATTCAAGTCCAAAGGGCACAGACTAGATACTCAGCCCTCGGTTAATGTCAGAAGGGGATCATACTTTGTACTTAGCCAAATAACTTAAGTTATACTCAGGCAGTATATAACTGCTCGTACAACAACACTAGAGTAGACCTGTTTAGTCACCTAATAAGAAGTTGATTCACCCCTACGTTTGAGAAGTACATGCATGTAGGAGAGTCCATTCAACAAGGAAAGAGTGATAAATAAGGGAATTGATATACAGGCACGAGGAATTGATACACGGGCATGAGCCTTACACGGGCATGAGGGTTCTATCCCTCTGATTGGTATTAAAAAACAGTACATTCCTGTAAAGGCGGTGAACGTAATCTCACTAACACCTCCACTATTTAATACCTAATTGGGCTCTGTGAGGGGCACTCTTCACGGCCGCGAAAAGGACCCCCCTAATGGGCTACCGTGATGGGCTACCTCCTGTGGGTCTGGCAGAATTTTGTTGCACTAACAACCTTTTTTCAGACCAATTAGAGAGCGTGCATCTCATGCCCGTGTAAGGCTCATGCCCGTGTATTAATTCCTCATCCCCATATATCAATTGCGATATAAATATAGTAGTTATCTTTATTTAATTAGGTATATATTAATAGTGTATCTATATTAAGTTTACTGTACCGTATCCTCTCAGCAGATTTGTACAGCGCACATACCACCCACTAGGCCTATTTTGAAAGGCGGTCAGCCAGCCTAGCCACCCACCCACCCATGTAACCCTAACCCTTGCCACCAAACTTGCTGCTGACGTTGACTAACCCCTGCATTTGCCACTTCTAGATCCCTGTTTCTGCCAGCCCGCTAGCCCCTATATAGTAGCCCCTGGTCAGTGCGGTGTACGAATCTACTGAGAGGATACGGTAGTTGTAGCCTTACATTTATTGCCTTTTAACTAATGTATTTGTTATCTAAAGTACTACTTTTAAGTAAGGAAATCTATCTAGCTAATAATAGCAACATTTGCCCTGCTTTTACTTATAGCTAATTACTATACTTTAATATATATTACCTACAATATATATATTTCATAGAAAAGTAATATAAACAGTAATAACCTAAAATATAGAGGATTACGTTCCTTGTATCTTGTAAAACAACTTAGTAGAATCCTTAGCCTTTCCTCTACCGACAGTTATAGCTTTGTTTACCTTACTGTCTTGTGCCTTACCCTCAGATGGCTAGCTTACCCTCGCTTACTCTCGCTTACCCCTAAAGCAGCGTCACTGGGTAAGCCTTAAGAGAGCTTTGAACTCAGGATCCGTGAGATCTTTTGCCATCTGGCATGCATCGTGATAGAGATTGTAAAACTAGACTGTGTGAAATACTGCAACCAAACCCAACAAAAATCATGTCGACAAGGAGCCAGGGCGCCATCCCGTCCGCAAATTGCACCCTGCTGGCTGCCGCTCCTCTGCTGCTCTCCTCATCATGAGGCGGATCCGACGCAAACGTACTCGTTCTCGACCTCAACAGGCATCTGCATCTGGAACGGAAAACCCCGCCGCTCGGCCTCCATGCCCTGCCCGCCAGTGCCGCTCGCGCTGGGAAAACGACCAGAGGTTCGCGTGTCACTGCGTTCCCCTTGCCTCGATTCCCCAACCCACGACTCGGTCCGCGAATCGTTGCGCTTCCACTCCGGGTGGTGCTTCTCGACGACGCGGAGGGTGTCCTGCTGCATATGCCCAATGATTACGTCCAGCAGCTCCTCCCGACGCATGACGGCGCCCCCGTCCTGTCCCTCATACACGTCTGGAAGCCGCCACTTAGGATAGACGTTCATGTGGGGTGACTGAACCGCAAAGTCGTGTTCCAAGTCATCAAAGTAGTACTCGCAGAGTCGGCACGGAGGCTTGCTGGTGGCAATGAACATGTCATTGTCCCAGTAGTCGTGCGGTTCTACCATCTTGCCCCGGACGAGGAAATCCTGAAGGTGCACCTCGCAGTGGACAGTTTGCCTCACCGGCTTCTGCTCCAGTCTCTCTCGGATATGATCGTCCAGACCGTAGTCGCGGAGCTGCTCAATTTGGCTGTTGTACGCCATGACATTTCTGTCGGGGAAGGCTACCAGGATCACGTCCTCGAGCGAAAGCGACTCTTTCGGCAGCGAGAGTTTTCTAGGGCGGCTGGAGGGGATATGCCCCACGGTGAAGCCGGTGAAGAGTTCGGGCCGCTCTTTGTGGGCCGCGACGATGCTGTCAGCTGCTTGGCGGTACGAGTACAGCCGGCCTAGGTGGTGGCGTAGCTGACACCAAGCATACGAGGTGTCTGGATCGTCGGCACCGGCACCCTCGTTCATGGCCAGAATGAAGCCTGAGCCTGGCGCCATCGCGTCTTGGATGGTTTTAATAAGAGACACGCAGTCTTTGAGAACTTGATGCTCATTTTCGTCAGCACGTGTTTGTCTCGGTTCCCGCCCTTCTCTACGGCTGTAACCGAGCGGTCAACTTACACTTCAATCTCGCGCTCGTGTCAGACGGCATGTCGTGTGGAAAAGTGGCATTGGCCTCGATCAGCCTCAACCGTGCAACTATTTCGGGTCCTTCGATCGATGTCAGCTCCATGACAGCTCTGGTCCATTTGAATGCACTTGCCGCCATGAGTTGCCAAAGAATGACTGCTCGCGATACATTTACCGACGAAAGCAAGAATCCGCTTGAGATAAAAGCCGACCCTGGAGAAGTTGAACTCCAGAATGCGCCCAAGCACTTGCTTCTTCAAAGTCTTCTCAGTGAGGTTTTCGGGCTTTCTGCCGACAAAGTTGAGCAAGGCGCCGAGGAACTTCCGCGTGCTCTCGAGCTCCTGCTCCTTGCGATTGTTGGAGGCAAAGAGGTACCCCGGCCCGTTGGCCGCCTTCAGGGCGACCAGGGCAGTGACAGTATCCCCTCCCTTCTCCGTGTCGCAGACCTGGGCAAGCTTGCACAGGAAGGACTGGAAAGGGGAGAGGATGCGGTCGCGGCGAGAGTCGCCGGACGAGTAGGTGACGTTGTGCATCTTCCTGCAGCTGTCGTTCACGGCACCGAACAGGGCAGAGAGATAGAACAGCTGGAGGTCTTTATCATGGGTGCAATCCATGTTGAAGACGGCTCGGTTGGTTGCTACGTTGTATATAATGAGCAGATGTTGGGCAAGGTGAGGGAATAGGTTTGAATGGAATGAAGTCTGGTATCTCGATGGTTGCTGGCTCGAAACCTCAACGTTCTTGGAGCCTTTTATAGAAAACATCTCAGATATTCTGTTGCCAATTCCTTATCTTGAAGCCAGAAACACAGCCTACTTGGGCATTTCTGCCTCTGCTAGGCAGACTCGACGGGCGCCGCGGTTGTTGGTCTCGTGAAGGGCGACCAACAGTCTCGTCCATGCAGACCCCAGCATGAACTACACGCCGCCGCGTGGGGTCGAACTGGCGCATAGCCTGATCGAAACCCAGACGAAGTGTAAAAAAGTACGAAACGATGCATCACTCAAGACGCGCTAGCAGGGCTTTCCACGCAGATATACCCAACCGGTTCTTTGTTTTGCGAACGAAGCGTGGAATATCACGGAGTTGTAGGGAACTTCCTGTCTGCCCCCCCCGCAGCCCCGTCCTCTCTGGTTCTGCATCCTGCAAGCCACCCTTGGCAGACTGCGCAAGACCCGACCAACAATTGCGATTTGGGAGAGATCTACGCCTGATTGGCTCACGCAAAGTCGGGTCGCGGCAATGGGCCACCCCCCTGTGGCCTCTTGTCAACAGTCAGCACTTCTTCTCTTGCGCGTTGCTCACCGAGACCAGCCTGCAGGCGTGTTGGAGGGTGACCGACGACGGCGTTCACTCCATATTCGGACCGGATGCCTTCAAAGCCTGATTGAAGGTCCTTGTTGGACGGCCAGCAGAAAGGGTGTGTGTGTGAGGCCACTTGCAGCAAGTCAGGCAAACGGGCGCACCATTCCTCGTCCCGCTCAACATTCTGATAGAATGAGGCCCCCCGGATCCCTTGGAACTATTTAAGTCTGCTTCCTTCACGGCTTCCGAAGTTTTTATCACCAAGCCATGGTCTTGCACCTATCAAATTTCGATTCTCCCTTGTCCAACTCTGTCTCGCCATTACCTGGCTGTACTCGTTCCAACCTAACCCCTTTTCCGTATTATTTTGGATTGGACGCGTAGCCACCCCCGGGTAGCCCCCAAGGATCGATTGAAATCACAACCGACCTGCCCGTTCAAACAAGGTCGAACCGCGACGGTGAGTGCAAAGGACCAAACACCAAAGACCGACCGTTGATACGAGCGAGACAACAGCTGCCAACCTGCCCCCGCGAGCCAGAGGATGAGCCGCAAAGGTAAAGAGCGCGAGCGTGACCACCGGCACGCCTTCAGGCCGGGAGCCGGAGATCCGGCCCTGTGGTCCCGCGAGGAAGACGAGGAGGCCGACTGGACGGCACAGCAGCAGGCGCCCAGCGTGGCGACAAGCCAGCACTTTGGTAACGGGCCAGGTCTCTAGACAGCCGGCCAACCGCCAGACGAACCGCCGCATGCGGATTTGCAGTCGGGTGCTAACTGGGATTTCAATGACTATATGCACATGGAAGCCCACTCGCTCCCTGACCAACAGGGCGAGCCCGCCTCGCCATCCTCTCATTGTTCTGTTGCCCAGGAACACGAAGAACCTACCCCGGTTGCCGGGTCCTCCCGCGCCACGAAGAATACGCAAAAGGCCAAGACGTCCCCAACGAAGGCGTCCACCAAGGGGTCGCCCCCCAAGCAGCCGGTCCAGTGCGACTGGGAGGGCTGCGGGAGACGGTTCCCGCGGCTTACCGAGTTGAAGTGAGATCCAACCCCCAGAGCGAGGGCTTCCCGGGGCCCTCTGCCGGGCGGGACAGGTGTTTTGCTAACGGCTCTTACAGCAAGCACGTCAAAAAGGACCACCTGCCGCCCTCGATCCCGTGTAAGGCTAGGGACGCCGCGACGTTCCTCGGCATGCCCCCTTGCGAGATGATGTTCTACGAGAACAAGGACATGTACCGCCACATCCGCAACGCGCACCCCTTTTTTGCCGCAGACCCGACCAACGGAATCTCGCCCGAAGGAGGCCACTGTCCGGTGTGCGGCGAATGGGTCGCGCGGGACGACAACCTGAAGCGCCACATCGACGAGCAGCACAAGGACATGCAGAGGGGGGGGTCGCCGACGGGGTGGGTGACGGATATTTCGGGGAGGTCTTTCTGTTTTTGTTTGTTGTTTCGTTCTGCTTTTGGTGCTTTGGGTCTTTTCGCTTTGCTCTGTCTTTCCAAGTGTGTTTGGTTTGGTTTCTCTTGTAACTCGCCGTTTCTCGTTTTGGATCGTCTTGTTCGGGGGATCACGGTAGTATTAGTTGTGAATAGCAGCTTTGCGCGTCTTTAAACCTCATTCGTATTGACTGTCGTGGATATGTTGCGCCGCGACAGCCTTCTAAAGGGCTGGAAGAAGGGTTGGCCCTCATAAGCCAGGGGAGGTCCTCGGAGATCCGTACGAGTCGGGTCTCTGGTTTTTGAAAGCCGTGGGGGAAAGACGCAAGGTGTCTCTGTCGTAAATGTCCATTCAAACCCATAGTTCAACGGAGAGGGATTAGGTGTGTGTCCGCTTCCTGTCCCTTGGACCACAAACTTTGTCGAAGGATCAACGGGGCGCGGGCCGACCCGACATAGCCGAGGGCCGGATCCACTCCGTAACCGCAGGGCAACTCTGCCAGAACTAGATAAACGCCGTGGCTTTCAGCCTCTCGTAAGCTCGACGGAAACGGCGTCTATCGTCAGGGACTCATATGAAGCGCGGAAAAATACGACATTCGCCATCAATCTTACTCTGTTGTCAGGTGCCTGGCGGAGGTCACGGGTTAGAGCTAGTCGGCCCCTATTAGTCAGCCCATAAGGGATAAACCCCTTCCAGCTCACGATAGTTAAGGGGTTAGATTTGAATGCTGTTACAACACCATACCTACCTTCTGTTAAGTGGCCCTATCGTTGACTTCATCACTCGGACCAGCTGACCTCTGACATCTGTTTATCTACGCTCATTAGTATAGCTTCGATCCTTGCGAGCGACTCTTCTGGTCTCCCCTTGCGGAAACCGAAGATATGATAGGGCTTGGTTAGACTTCAGACATTTATTGACAGAGATGATGTGCACCCTCTATCTACAGCTTTTCATGTCTGCTATACGCGACTTCCTCCACGACACGCCTAGTTTGATAGGTCTGAAATACCGCCCCCAAGACCTATAAGGCTATTTGATGTAATGCGTTCGCTCCTCCGCGGGCTGTACCAAGTAAAGCTAGCCCTTTCTTGTCCCCCCTGTGTGATGCTGTCACAGATAGTCTAGTATGCCTTGGCGTCGTCCTGGCCGCGCTTGTAAGCCTTGGCATTGTCTTGGGAAAGGTCGCGGTAGGCCTTGGCGTTGTCCTGAGAGAGGTCGCGGTAGGCCTTCGCGTTGTCCTGAGAAAGGTCGCGGTAAGCCTTGGCATCGTCCTGGCTGCGCTTGTAGGCCTTGGCGTCATCTTGGCTGCGCTTGTAGGCCTTGGCGTCATCTTGGCTGCGCTTGTAAGCCTTTGCGTCATCGGCAGAGAGGTCGCGGTAGGCCTTCGCGTCGTCCTGGCTGCGCTTGTAGGCCTTAGCATCATCTGCAGAGAGGTCGCGGTAGGCCTTGGCATCGTCCTGGCTGCGCTTGTAAGCCTTTGCGTCATCGGCAGAGAGGTCACGGTAGGCTTTGGCATCGTCCTGGCTGCGCTTGTAAGCCTTTGCGTCATCGGCAGAGAGGTCACGGTAGGCTTTGGCATCGTCCTGGCTGCGCTTGTAGGCCTTTGCGTCATCGGCAGAGAGGTCGCGGTAGGCCTTCGCGTCGTCCTGGCTGCGCTTGTAGGCCTTGGCATCATCTTGACCGCGCTTGTAAGCCTTGGCGTCATCTGCAGAGAGATCACGGTAGGCCTTTGCGTTATCCTGGGAGAGGTCGCGGTAAGCCTTCGCATCGTCCTGGCTGCGCTTGTAGGCCTTGGCCTCGTCCTGAGAAAGCGCTACATCTCTGCCGGCTTTATGAACGGTTAGAAAAAAAAAAGTTCCAAGTTCCATCGTATATTCAGTACCGGCAAGGGACCTGGGGGCTTACAGAGAGTGGGGGCTGCAAGGGCAGCAATGGGGGCAATGAGAAGGAGGCTGGAGAACTTCATTTTGAAAAGGTGAATTTTCTTGTAATAATGGTTTCAAACCTAGGAAGCGTGCGTAGATGCTCAATGTCTGTGTGAGTGGGTTGAGATGAGGATGCTGTCCAGGAAATCCAGACTGGAGTGGTCGACGAGAACGGGATCATTTAAAGACATGGACAGATCGTCTCAACTACAAATCCACATTAGGTATCCCATGCGTGATTTGGCCAATACAACCTCGAGCTTACCAGCCTTCACTGGCCTGAATCTCGCGTCTATGCATAGCACAGTCATAAAGAAAAGCGACATGGAGACGTGACTTCTTACTCAGGCTGTACCACCACCCCGAAGAACGAACGGAGACCGCAAGCGCATATCCCTCTTGAGACTGCCGAAGGGTATCCGGAGTTCGACGTTGGACCGCCGAGGCTGCTCACGACGGGTGGCGACTGACGGGTCGGAGACTAGAGCATTGGAGACCCGCTTCATGCACCTAGTCAGGCTTCGTCAGACTATATGATTTTCTGACAAGGTAACTAATAAGATGACAGCTGCAGATCTGTAAGGCATCCTTAGTCAGCTAGCTGCAACCACAAACAGTAAGAATTGACTCAGAATACTCGAGAGTAATAAGTGCCGTAGTTTAGAAGTTGGCTCGGCACTCTACACGTCTTCAATCGCTTTCTGCTCGATGTCAGTCCGGACATTGCATGCTCCCGCAAGTGTCTGATCCAAAATGAGTTGGCCGCGGCTTTGAGCGAACGACTTACAACAACAACAACAATAACACATTGCAGCGCCTCTCCCCCAACCCATGAACCTCCTCAAGTGGCATCTTAGTCTGTCATTTCGCGAGCCACGCTACGAGATCATGAACGAAGAGAACGACTCCGAAGCCGGGTCCGAGGACCAACTCCTCGCCGAGAAGGGACCAAGGCCGACGAGGCCGAGAGCCGGCGGTTTTCTCCATGGCCTCGGAGGGCCTTTTCTTTGGCTTCACATACTCTTCCTTACCTTCTACTCGGCCTTGTTCTTCACTCTTGTGCTCTCCCGGCAGGGCCAGGAGCACGCATGCGCGGACGACCAGACCATGGTGTGGTGTAAGCTGCTCCCCCCGGATTCCCAACCGCGTTTTTGCTGACCGCTTGCCCCCAGCGCCGGCTCGCGAGGCGCTGAAGCCGGAAAAGGTCCTTTTCGGCAACGAGATCCAGGACGACAACGTCTTTCGCGGGCACCCGCGGCCGGAGCTGGACGCCGCCTGGAACACGCTCATACAGTACAGCAACGTCAAGGTCAAGGCCGAGGACCTCAGGCGGATAAACCGCACGTCCGTCCGGCTGCACGACGAGTCTGGCGAGCTGACCGAGTACTACTGGAGCGGCCTCAACGTCCACCACCAGCTGCATTGTCTGAAGATGGTGCGGCAGGCGGTGTTCCCCGAGTACTATTTCAAAGGGAAAAAGCCGCCGCGGCATCTGGAGGGACACATTGACCACTGCATCGACAGTAAGGACATTCCTAACCCCGGCACTTTTTCTTCCCCCCCCACACGGGCGATGAATGCTGACGTTGGCCGGTTTTCGAGACATTCGCATGACGCTCATGTGCAAGGCGGACATCTCGCTCGGCTCCTACGACTGGGTTGATAACAACCGGAGGCCCCTCACCAACTTCCACACCGAGCACAGCTGCTACAACTGGGACCTTGTCAACAACTGGGCGCGAGACCACAGTTTCGACATGTACGACAACACCTCTCTGGTGCACCCCTTCCTCGGTACGTGTTTCCAGGTCCCCCCCTGCGTACACCATTGAGACGAGACTGGGATCTGGTATATTAACGCTTTCCCCTTCTGTGTTGACAGGCAAATCCTACCCTCTCGATTCCGATGGCAAGTACATCTTTACAGAAGAGGTTGATCCTTTCGAGGGTAACAAGATCACGCCACCGCCGGTGTAGGGGGAGGAGGGTCGCCAAAGGCAATCGAAGACACCTCTGAGCGTGGCATTTAGGATAAACTTACTCTATGGCGAACCCGAGGACCTGAGGTCAACTAGGAACAGAGGGAGAAAAGTGGCCACTTTCTCTACTATAGTTGCAGGACAAGAGGCCAGCTATATATTGTTTGATAGCAAGAAACATGAAACAATGCCAATGACCGTTGCCTAGCTTGCAAGCACGAGAGGGCTCCGTGACTGTATGAATTGTTCGAGTCTCTCCCAGCTGCTGACCCCTTGCGTGCTGATCTGTCTCTGCTCATCTCCCAACTCTTGTTCAGACTGCTCTACCGCTCAGACACAAGTGGTGAAATCAAACAAGGCAACTCAGGCAATGTAGGAGCCTAGAGTTTGTAAATCGCGTAGAGGCGCGCGACAAATGCCGTGGCTAAAACTAAAGGCTTCCACGGTACGACGCATCAAAGACAGCACCTAGTCAAATCCTTGTTCAAGAGTACTTGATTGTGCCAACTCCACCGAGGTTGAATATTTTAGTCCGGTTCCCAACTTTAGCTTTTTTCACTTGACCCAACTCCCCCGAACTACCAAGCTAGCGGTGTGAACCACACTCTTGATCACTAAACTACGAGGGAGACGAGTCTCCGCGTTGCGTACAACTCGCCGCACAAAATCTCTCTGGGTGTCGCCAAACGGAGGCTCAGGCCGTGGGCGGAGACTCCGGCTCCTCCCTCGCCCGGCGTTCCAGCTGGTTCATGCGCTCCTCGTCGTCGTTGTACTTCCTGAAGAGGAGGTAGAAGACGGGGGTCAGGAAGCCCATGATCCCGGCGAGGACGACGAACTGGTAAAAGACCTTGGTGTACGTCGACGTCGGCGACAGCGCGAAGCCGAGGAGCGCGCCGACGGAGCTGGTCAGCAGGTTCAGGGCCGATATGAAGCTCTTCATCGTGCTGGGGGCCTTTGTGTAGGCGAACTCGACCGCCGACACGAGCGCGAAGATCTCGGACAGCGCCGACAGGATGAAGATCGGCAGGATCCACAGCACGGACACCTGGTTCTCGGGCTGCCTCATGACCACTGTGTGGCGGGGCCTGTCAGCACACTCTTTTTCTTTTTTCTTTTTTCTTCTTTTTTTCCTTTACCGGCTTTCGAGGACGTTGTGTGGATGGCTTACTGTGTTGGGTGCCGGCTGCAAAGGCAACTGCTCCGGCCAAGGCGGCAAAACCAAAGGTGATGCGCGTGACTGGTCGAAAGGCGATGCCGAACTTCCGTAGGGTCGGGTAGATGACATGGTCGCTGCATAGCGTCAAACCTCTGTTTGCCACGTGCGGCCTCGGCCCTTGGGGCCGGGAGGGTGGCTTGGTTCACTCACAGCAACGGAATCATGATGAGAATTGTCACGGGGTTGAAGCCGCCCACTAGAATTCATGTTAGGCCTCTTCTCATGTCTCGACATGCAGATGTCGACTCTGAAACGTACTAAAGTCGTTGGGCAGCCCATAGGTGTTCGTCCTGGCTGCCAGGCTGATGGTGTTGCCGCTTGTTTGGCCTATACAGACCCAGAATATCGGGCTAAATACATTGTGAGACTCGGATCACTCGCAAGTGGTAGCGGTTGGTGTTGGAAGTCTTACAGAATCGCGCTAGATGAAGAACGGAAAGCCGTTAGTTCCCGACCGCTTCGGGGCTCGCAGCAGACAGACTCACAACACACGACACGCCACTAGGGCTACTTTGATTTCTTCGATGAAATGATCATCCCACGGGACGCTGGCGTTGCCGTGCTGGGCTAGGTAAGACGGCTTCGCCTTGTCCATGTCCCAGTGCTTCATCCCAACCCAGACGGCCTTGAACGCCCTGGGTATATCGGACCCTCGGGGCGGGACCATGACTGCAAAGCGTTTAGTTTTCGCTTTCGCATCCAAGTGAGGGCGCGCCGTGAGGTCTCACCGTATGTCTTTCGGCCGGCAACGAGCACGACGAGGGCGGCAAGGTAGAAGCCGAGGGCCATGAGGAAGGTCGCCCAGAATCCGACTTCATATTCGATCCACTGCGAAAGGTTTCAGCGAAACCGAACTGTATCGCTTACGTGAACTCGCCTTACCGTTGCCAACAGCATAGAACTGGATCCGATATTGATGAGCCTGTCTCTCATCAGCCCCAAGACCACAAACCATCCAATTTCTGGGGCTTGCTTGCCAGTAGTATGTGCTGAAGATGTTCTGAATCGTGACATCGGGGTCGAGAATGACCCGTTCACCACCCTTGAGGGTCTTGAGTCTTCGTGACTTGCCAGAGTACTGGTCCGCGATCAGAGGTCCTACGTTGCTCTTGATACCACCGGTACTGTACCCAAGAATCAATAACTGCTTTGATAGTGTGTATTGGCATACACCAAGACGGGGGGAGGGGGGGGGGATTACCCTAAACCTATGACAAACAGGGCCACCAGTAAGCCTGGAAGGCCAGCACCCGCCTTCAAGGCAACCGGTAGGGACGTGGCAAAGAGGATGACGAAGCCGAGAGTCGATATTCTGGGAAAAGCATCATTAGGCATTCCACATTGTGCGCTGTTGAAGAACAAGGGTAAACAATTCGAACAGGGGTGTGTTCACATACATAGCACCGAGGCATATTGTCTTGAATCTGCCCAGCCAGCTGTCGGCAATGATGGCGCCAAACAAGGGAGTAAGGAAGCACCAGAACTCAAAGATGAAGCCTATGCCTGTCGCGATTGCTTGGCCCTGTACACGTCTCAAGTGAGTAAGAGTCCTCAGGGCCCCAGAAAAGGTGGGTATATCATGTTGGCCCAGTTCGCGGGCGTGGGTTAAGGTGTCTTCTCTCTCTCTCTCTCTCTCTCCCTCTCTCTCTCTTACCTTGCCCAGGGCTCCGGGGCGTTCGTCGGGCCCTCTGTGGCCACCATCAGTGAAGGGGTGTTCGACATAGTTTTCTTTTCCCCCCCGATATTGATAGTAAGCACTAGTCCAAGTCCGGTTCAAGCGACACGCTTGCTGCAGCACGTGTCTGCAGTCGGGAGGGGAAAACGGCTACTCACGCAGCGGCCCAGTCAAGCAGCGGAAAGCGAACCTCTCAGCGACCTCGGCGGCCCCGACGAGGTAGATGGCAATGGAGACCCGATCGGCCACACGCCTCAAGGTCGCCAGCTCCTCGTCGTTGGGAGACTGGCCGTCCTCGCCCTCGGACAGGGAGACGGCTTGCGGCAAGGGCTCTTGGGCGGTGCTCTTTTCATCCTGCGCCGCAGCCGCGGGGGCTGGATGCTGTGGGGTCATGACTGCGTGGAATAACGATTATATACTATCCCGAGAGCTCTCCTCGAGACGGACGGGCTGACGGACGGACGGACGGACGCTGGAGAGAAGGCGAGCGAGCAGTCGAAAACCCGCTCAGCTGATCTGGCGTTTTAAGTATTATGTGGCGGCCGGGAGCTAAGAAACAAGATACGGTACGGGCCGCCGCTCCGACTATTTAGGAGAAATGAAAGCACGGTGAGCGTTTGCCGTGCGCGGGCGCCGCAACGGATGGGCGGATCCTCGCCCGGGGAAGCGATTCCGCATGGGACGATGATCTTTGGCGTTGCTTGGCGTCCCTGCTGGCGTCCCTTGCAACGTGACAACCCTTGTGGGTCTGTGTATTGTGACCTTCCGTATCAGGGAATGGCTTTCTTTGTTCTCCTCGCGAGGCGGAAATCCCACGTTCGGCCATCCATCACTCCCCCATGATGGGGAGCCTGGCACTCGTCGGAGCAGCCCCTTCAGGCTTCGCGGCCAACGCAATTCAATCGGAGCAAGTCGGAGGCCGTTTTTAGCTGCACCCTTGCAGGGCCAATAGGACCCGTCGTTCGTGAGACAATGTCATCAGGAAAATGCCGTTCAGGCTGACCACATTGTTGAAGTGTTGGGCATGCTTACGTTGTGTTTTACCACCTGTCTTGGACATCATCCTGTACCTGTGCGAACTTGAGAAGAAGAGATCACCTTGGGCTGACCACCCACCGTTCTCGTGGCACTCATGACACAATATCGTTTGCGCTGATCGGAGCACCTTGGGAGGAACCAGCCTTGTGTTCGGACTTTAGTGCTGACCAGATGCTACCCACAGTACAACCGGGCAGTGATATGGTATCAGGTTGAAGTCGAGCACATGCCAGCTTAGTTGATATGCCATAGTGTACACTGGGCAAACCTTGTCTCAGCAGAGACTTGCCGGCGAGCGCTGATCAAAAGACCATCTCTAGATCTCTCATGGACCCACCCACCTAGTGGCCACCCTGGCAGACACTTGATAGGTCGGTTGAAGCGGCATAAGAACCTGTCTGCTAGACGAAGTCTGGCCTGCCTGCGACAGCTATCAACTTCGCGAGATAGGTGCCAGGCGATGATCAACGCCACTATTGGCCATGTCACCTAGATTCCGACCTCGGGTGGGTAGTATTGGAGGCGGATAGAGTATGTTTGGTTCTGGGTCATAGGGGGTTTGCATATGGGGGTCCAATATCACTTATACGAAGTACATACTTTGTACGGACGTGGTAAGGGCCCGGTGTGGATAACTCGACTTACATACGACCCCGCAACACCATAGCGTTTCAGTGCTCGTTGATATGATTCGCGTAGCTGCAGTAGGCGCGTGCAGACGTGCTACATGGTGCAATGATGCATCGAGTTGCCCGACGATGCGACTCGGGGCTCCTGTCCTATGCCTAGTTAAGAGGTTGGAGATGTCCAAGATCGCGCGACCTGCTGCTGCTGTAAAAAGAAGTCTTGGATGGCCAGTGGCAACATCTCAGCCTTCATGTTTTCGAGGTTGACTAGATCTCTGTATCGTTCTTCTTCATTGCTGAACCAGCCTCCCTTTGATCCCAGACCGCCACCCCCCGTCCGTCCCTTTTCCCTTGCTGACTTCGCCCCGAACCCTGAGCCTGAACCTAGATCCCCTAGACCACCCTAGACCACCCTAGACCATGGACCGAAACAGTGCATCTTCCGTTGCCGACGAGAATGACTGGACCAATGTGACCGACCCAAAGGAGAAGAAGAAGATACAGAACCGCATCGCGCAGCGTGTCCACCGTACGTCTGCCTGGCGGTTCCCGCTCGGAATCCGCGGTGGCGCCGGCCATGTTTACTGACGGTCAAGGGCAGGTGAGAAGCTCAAGCGGCGCCTTCGAGAGCTCGAAGATTTGGCCGAGGAGAAGGAAAGCAGGAGGCTTGCCGAGGAACAGGGACACAAGAGGAGATTCTCAATGAGCGTGCCCATGACGCCGGGAGCACAGTCCATGGTGTTGCCGGCTTCCTGCCCCTCCAGCATCTCTTTCGGCCCCGCCGGGGCGCTAGAGAGCCTCACGCCGCCCGTGTCCCAGCACATCGAGACCATGTGGCGTGTCTTGAACGACATACTCCATGACCGCCCACTGGCAGACAGCCCCGGCCAGAACACGAGCATCGCGGGGCCGAAAGACGCTCGGGAAGAGCCCGCACCGACGTATCCAGACTGGCGGGCCCATACTCTAGTAGCAGGTCCGGAGACGGGCTCGGACAACAAGTTCGACCTCGCCGCTCTCGCCAAGGGACTGTCTCCCGCGCAGGACGGCAATCTTTACATGCCGGATCTCGATTATTTTCCGTTCCCCGGCGGCACCAGCGACGGCGACGACAGAGTCGTCGGGGACTTTGGCGACACAAGACCCGGCTCGGCCTACGCGTCTTTGCCGCCCGGGCTCCCGGGCAGCGACGCGCCGTTGATCGAGCGGCTGAACTGCCTGAGGCAGTACGCGGGAGCCCTGGGTTTCGGCAGCCTCGACGCGGCCCTGTCGTCGTACTACACGGCCGACCTGAGCAGGTCGCCGACGCTCTTCAACGAGCAGTGTCTGAGCCGCAGCCGGCGGCTGCCCAGCCTCCTCTCCGAGATCAGGAGGCATTCCAAGGGCTGGAACAAGCTGGGGCAGGCCGGGTACACGGAAGAGACGCTACGGAGCGCCGAAGACATCTACGTGGAGGAGTTCAAGCAGGCGGGGGTCGACGTGCACCTGCAGCTCGCGGACGTCGCCGTCGCGGGCGAGGAGTTGACGATGGATCTTGTGCCCAGGGCTCTCGTGGTTTTGCAGAACAAGTTTCCTCACCTCTGGGCCTTGATCACGAGCCTCGCCACGGACGCCGCGGCGCTCGGGGAGCAGCAGCAGCATCCCTACACCGTGTTCGCGACCGTCATGACGTTGTGCTGCCCCGGCAGGCCTCTCCCGCGCGGCGTGCTTGCATTCCATCAGTATCAGTACCACGAAGTGCCGTGATCGATTGGTTGCCGCGCCAGCGGCTAGGTGCATAAAGGCTTCGTACAGCGGCGAGTAGGACCGCGGGGAGAACATATAGTATGTATTCGTAGGCATAAGCATGGGTCTCTCTGGTGGGGACCAAATATGGGGGGGGGGGGGGACGTCTTTGTATAAGCTGAATGATTAAGACAAATTGGTCATCTAGGTACATCTTGCATTAAACCATGCGGGCCGCCCTCACAGCTCTTGGCTGACGATCTCCACGTCTGTATCTACCGGTAGCTTACTGCCGTCTGACTGGCCTAACCCCCGCGCCTTGCTATGCATACTGCATTGTTATATTACGCGTCTGACTGTGCCCCCCCCCCGGTAAGGCTGATGAAAGTCTATGTGTCATGTGCGAGGGGAAACCATTTGATAGTAGCGTTGCATCTCGGCGCTATTCGGACAGCTTTCTCTCCCGGCTTGGCTTGGGGTTGTCTGCGTTGGAGGGCACTACATGCTGTGTGCCATGCTTTGAAAGGAGATCTGCGCACGCAATCCGCGCTTACCTTCTCTTTTCCTCCCTTTCTTTCTCTTTTTTTTTTTTTTGTGCCATATTCTTCTCCCCTCTTCGGGGTGGCAATCGACAACCAATCAACCAGAAAAGAAAGAAGGGGGTAGAAGAAAAAAAAAAGAACAGAACAGAACATGGCCCTCGGGAACCCCGTCGCGGACACACGAGGCATTGTGCTGCCGTCCCGGTACGAAATACGGCAGATCTCACCGGCCGTTGCCGACTGGGTTTTGGCTCTCAACTGGTACACACAGATATGCGGCTCAGAGGTCCTGAGCGGCGTCCACTCTGGAGAGCTGGGCAAGGCGACGCTGACGGCCTACCGGTCTCTGAGGGAGTCGAACCGCCACAAGGACATGCCGCCGTCCAACGGTCTGTCGTACATGCTCGTCGACAAAGAGTACGTCTTCAAGCGGCCCGAGTCGGAGGCTGCGGGGGGCGGCCTGTACTGGGACGAGATCGACGCCGAGGACCCGGCGCTGGCCGACGACCAAGCGGCCAAGCGGCGGCTGCTCGAAGGAATCGACTTCCCCATCGTCTCGCTGTCCCAGTGGTACGACGCCGGCGCCGAGGGCGACCCGGCCATCTGGGCGCTGAGGAGGCGGGTTGCGCCCGTGTACTGCCTGACCAGCGACATGCTGGACGAGAGGGACACGTCGACCTTGGAGGCCGAGGTGACGGGCCCGGGACAGGTACTGCTAGACAAGGGCACCTCCACGCTGGAGGGACACGAGGGCAAGGGGCTGATGAAGGCGCTCGCGCACTTCGTCATGAGGGAGATGAAGGCCAGGGGGTTCCGGGGCATCATGGTCACTTGTCTGTCTCCGCAGGTGCACCACGTCTTCGGGAGCCCGCCAGCACCACTCAGGGGCCACACGCTTGTGGAGATGACGCTTTGGGACTACGAGAAGAGGGACGAGAAAGGACAGGTGTATAGGCCGCTGGCCAAGTCCAAAGTGAACAAGGGTTGGAAGGTGTGGACCGAGCTCGCGGACGAGGCATCGATTGCAGCATGACTCCGATAACTGCATATCGAAATGCACGATGCGCTCGAGCGGAAATAGGTGTAAAAAAGCGATAAAAAAAAGAAAGAAAAAAACAAGGAGTCACACACCCAGTCATTCCCGTTATCCATAACCAAACAGAACTCGCCGGCATCCACCTAGTTATAGTATCCACAAAGTAGGGGGTTTGACCAATCGTTCCTCCTCACCTCGTTTCCTCATCGAATCGATCCGATCTTCGGACCGAAATCAACCCCTCGCGACGACTTTTGACCAGACGGGCGACACGCAACTCTCATCTACGTTATCGTTTGCCTAGATCATCATCACCATGCCTCAAGTGGCTCTCGGGGAGTCCATCCCCCCCGACACGGCTCATGTACGTTTTTTCCAATGAATGTTGTGTGACTATATTATATACCTTGCTGACCTTGACGACCTCTTGCCCACCGAAAGGCCGTGAGCGTTTCGTTGCCGACATGGAAGTCCAATGTAGGGTATGAGGAGGGCGAGAGCTGGGTCGTCGACAAAATGACGACGGGCTACCCGAGATTCTTCATCCACAAGAGCATAGAAGCCTTTGCGCGCGTCGTCGCCTCGACGTTTGCCCGCACGCCGGGGCAGCGGGCCATGCTGTTCCCCAACAAGGCCATCGCCCAGCGGTGCATCGACTTCCTGCACGCCCACGCCCCGGCCCGGGTGCTGGACGGCCTCGACACCGTCCACCTGGTCCTTGACGCCTCGAACCCGGAGGCCGTCTCGCTGAAGCTCATCAGCCCGACCGTCTCGGGCGTGCTGTTCCATCCCGACGCTTTCCCGTACGCCAAGCAGTTCTGGCAGCACAGCGGCGACGGCGTCTCCAGCAGAAGGGCCGAGTTCTGCCACGGCCTCCTCGCCCAGGGCCTGCTTTCCCCCGACGACCCGTCCAGGAAGCCGAAATGCCAGGCCCCTCAGAAGATCAAGGGCCCGCGGCGCTACCAGCGGCCAGTCCTCGCAGAGGAGACGGCGGCGGCGGCGGCGGCGGCGGCGGCATCTCACACGCCGGGTAGCAGCGGCGACACCAGTCCGAATCTTAGCTCGGCGGCGTCCAATTGGTTCGTCGAGGAACGCTTTGGCCGGAACCTCGACATTTCATTCGTCGACCGAGCCAAGGCGGCGATCAAGAGACGCATCGCCGGCACGCTGAGTCACAACGTCGATGTCGCGAGCAGACCCCTGCCGGAGGCGGACCCCAGCGGCCGGGGAATCGCCAGCCTCACGGAGCACGACGTCTACCTGTTCCCCACGGGCATGAGCGCCATCTTCAACACCCATCGCTTCCTTTTGAGTGCCAGAGGGAGCATGAAGAGCATCAGCTTCGGGTTCCCCTACGTCGACACGCTCAAGATCCTCCAAAAATTCGGCCCCGGGTGCGTCTTCTACGGCCGCGCCTCAGAACAAGAGCTGGACGAGCTCCAGCAGCGGCTTGCGTCAGGCGAGCGCTTCCTGGCGCTGTTCTGCGAGTTTCCGGGGAACCCCATGCTCACGTGCCCCAATCTCAAGCGTATCCGCTCCCTGGCGGACCAGTACGATTTTGCCCTGGTGGTTGACGAGACGATTGGCACATTCGGCAACATCGACGTCCTGCAGTATGCCGATGTCGTGGTCAGCAGCCTGACCAAGATCTTTTCGGGTGACTGCAACGTCATGGGCGGGTCGGCCGTGCTGAATCCCAAGAGCCGCTATTACGCCAGACTCAAGACCACGCTCGAGCAGAATTACAGCGATACGTACTGGCCCGAAGACGCCATCTTCATGGAGCGGAACAGCCGCGACTTTGCCAAACGCATCAGCCGCATCAACACCAACGCCGAGGCGGTTGCCGAGCTCTTGCTGGCGCACCCGCTCGTGAAGAGGGTGCATTATCCAAAACACAACGCAGACAGGGCAAACTACGAGGACTGCAGGACGCCGCTCGGAGGCTACGGCGGGCTGATGTCTGCCGTGTTCCACCGCAAGGAGGATGCCATGGTGTTCTACGACAACATGGAGTCGCCAAAGGGGCCCAGTCTCGGGACGAACTTCACCCTGACGTCGCCGTACGTGCTGCTCGCTCATTATGGAGAGCTGGACTGGGCAGTCAGCCTGGGCGTCGACCCGAACCTGCTGCGCATCAGCGTCGGACTGGAGGAGACGGATCGGTTGACGGAGATTTTCAGCAAGGCGCTCGAAGCGGCGGAAAAGGCATCGCAGGGTGCCGGGCCGAAATCGTAATAGATTGCCTCCCCCCTTGCCTTGAATAAATAGTCGTGTGGCCCACCGTTCACCGTGCAAGTCTGTGCTCCAACCGGTGGCCCATCTCGTTCCGTCACACCTTCCGACCATTCACTCTAAATGTACGTGTGAAAACATTTTGTTGAGTTCTCTAGTCTTGATGTCTCAACTGAAATGATTCTGACCGATTATACTTCTTTTCTTCCACAGGGTGCCAGCATATATAAATCCAGGCTGGAACTATCTTGTGATTGAGAGATGATTTTTTTTTTATAGAGAATGGCCTCAGAAGAGCTTCAAATCCTGCCCTGTAGGCTCTTAAGGGACTCGTTCGCAAAGAGCAAGCTGCCTTAGCGCATGCCTAGAGCCTCGTACGCATCGTGGGCTGGCATCGGCGGGTTGTCTTGGGCCAGGCCCGGATAATCGCATAACCGGTGTAGGTTAACTGACCAAGCAGGAGAAGCGATTGAGTCCTGACATTGGAGGGTCAAAATGTTATCTGACAATCAAGAAGATGGCAGATGCGGCTCATCTCTCTGACTCGCATCTTAACGTACAGTACTCCCACAGCTACAGACCTGGATGTTGCAGCAAACACCTTGCTGGTTCTACAACGAGAATGCGCCACCGGGATTACCAGATTGCGACGATGCCGTCTCAAAAATAGACGTTGACTCCCCACGAGGCTGATTCCCCTACCCATCAGAGGTCTCGCCAGTGTGCTGGGTCAAGTATGGGTGCACTGTCTACTGGAACGAGGTGCTCTCCCTCCAGTCTTATATCCAAACGGGCGGTGGGGAAAAGACCTCATAGGATGGCCGACGTCCGGGGTATCGGAGAGGGCTGGGATATGAAGTGCGTCAAAGTTTGACGCCTAAGACCATGAGGGCTCATGACGGCACGAACGCAACAGGGCGGCATGCGGATCCAGTCCAGAGTCGTCTCCGGGAGGCAAACCGTCTTCGACCCTGCCGTCGGGAGAGACGTCCTGCACCGTGCGAGTTGATGTGCCGACGTTTCCAGAGACTCGATGACATGGCGAGATGTTCTCCGTGGGCCAGCGCGCACGGGTGAAGCGTGCAAGGCGACTCGTGAGTCTCACCGAAGTTAGCGGCTGATCGGGGTAGTCCATCATATATGTCAAGGAAGGATTCTGCAGTGGTGTAGGACTAACTTGGGGTGTTGAAGCGTGGGCACCGTTGTCCACTTACTTAGCCGAAATATGTAGGTAAAGGTAGTAGACACATATCAGTGTTTATTTCCAGGATAGCTTTCCCCTCTTCATTTATTTCCCTACCTATAGCTAACCACCTAAAGAGGGGGAATGTAATAATTAGTACGTATACTTTACCCCGAAAGCTACACATTACGCAAAATAACGTGATAACGCAGACAACTTGACAAGAAAGCGACTCGTAGATGGAAGTAAGTAACTCCTAAGTAGGTAGGGATTATGCCGCAATATGCGTACTTTAACAGATGCACGCACTCCAACACTACGAGCCGTGTCGGCGGCTGTGGGAATGACACCGGACCGCGTCCCCGCCTGTTTCCTTTTCTCGACTCTTTTCTTTCTTTCTTTCTTCCTTCCTCTCGTTGGCCCGTTGGTACGACGCGGGGTTCTCGAACCCTCGACGGGCCATGTCTTCCCAACTCTCGTCTTCGTCGTCTCCGTTCCGCCGGCTAACAAAGCCTCTCTCTCTCTCCTCCACCTTCTAGAACGCCGAACGGCACTTTCACGAGCCAAAATACAAAGGCAAGTCAGCCGCCAAGCGCATTCGCACAACACACATCCTGGTCGTCCCTCCATCCGGTTGCATTAAAGCCCAAGCCGAACCCCGGTCATCAATCCGTCCGTCCAACCAGAGCCGCCCATTGCCACGTTCTTGCGATATCCCCCTTCGCCCGAAAGGCTAAGTAAGAATCATCGGCCGTGGTATGGTGGTCCCCCCATCCGCCCATTCCTCCCACGACCCCGTGGGGTTCCCAGCGCTGCACCGGCTCAGCCAAGAGAACCCCAAGTCTCCCAAGCCTCCGCAAATCCTGCGGAGAAGAAGAGGACCTGACGTCGAATTTCTAGAAGCGCCCGTTGCATCGACCGATTGCATCACAGCGTTACTGCCCCGCCATCGCTGCCTGTCTTTCCCCCCTCCATACCGACTCGAGTCGTATCCCGGACTTAATCCACACGTCTTCTTTGTCCTGCATCCCCGTCGTCCCATCTCGACTTCTCTTCATCTTGTGTGTGCTCGACTCAGTAGTCCTCTACAGTCCACCAGACTGTCCCGACCGCGCGCACACCGTACCCAGGTGAGTGATGGCGTGTCTTTGTCCTTGCTGACTTGGCTGTGTCTCCACCCGCCTGTTCCCGTGCCTGTCAGCCCCCCCAAATGATATGGCTTCGCCGGCACAAGCAGGCAGAAGTGTCTTGACAGACGGGCTGACCATCTCCAGTCACACGCTTCTTCAGCAGCGGCCTCCCGCGTCTGAACAGTCGGTTTGCGCTACCGTGATAATCATTGCCGCAATCACGCCCAGCCCATTCATCCGCCTTCACATCACATCATATCGCCAGCGGTCGCACCCACCCAGCCAGTCCGCCTGTCTGGTACGTTACGTTGCCATTCTCCCCCCTGTCCTCGTACCCTTTTTATCCAGAAAGTCTCGGCAGATTGCGAAACTGGCCTGCGTCCAAATCGCCATCTCGCATCGGTCTTGCGGAGCCAGTTTCACAAACACCCTTGCCCTCTGCTGCCCCCCTCCCCCGGCCTGAACCATTCCCTATTCTCTCAGCGTTTTCCATCTTTCCGTCAGCTCAATCAAGCGCGTGCTTCCGGTCCTGTGGTTCAAGTCCTAGACCCGTTCCAACATGTGAAAGGGCTCCTGTCCCTCGAGACAAGACCCCGGGATCCCGGGATAACTGGTCTCTGCACGCCAGCCTATCCCAGTTGCCCCAGTCTGGTCTCCGTGGGGGGGTTCCACTCGATCCCATCCGTCTCTTGTCTTTCCCATCTTGTCCATACACCATACCTGATACCCCATCCGGCTGGCGCCTCTCTCGGTAAGCCAGTGCCTACCACCCTAGCCTCGACTCGCCGGCCTCTCATCCGGCCTTCCTTCGGTCCGTTGATATATATTCCCAGTCCATCCCATCTTCTGTAGCCGAGACGTCCTCTCTCTTCTCCCCCTCCTCTCTCCCCGTCCTGTTCCTCTACCCACGCTGTCCAGATTATGTACTGTTGTCTAGTGTAATGCCATCATATTGCCTGCAAGACTGCCACTACTTCTACCGCACGGCGCTGCGCGGATTGAACGTCAGCACCAACGTCTCGCCTCTCTACGCATAAAGAGGCAGCTCGTCCGCTAACGATCATGCCCACTCAAGTCCGCATCTTTTCGCGACCCAGGCCCCTCGGCGAGACTCTCGAAAAGGCCGTCCCTCCGTCCTCTGTCCCCCGATCCATCCCGGACACCCTCGATCTTCAGAAACCAGTCGAGCACGAAAGGCCAACCCAGAGCACCAAGGACGCCCACTCCATGGCCGTCTACACGGACAAGTCCGTCGAGGGCAGTGTCACATTCGCTGGCCAGGACAAGCTCAAGCACCTGCCCATCCCCGAGTTGGAGGTTACCGCACAAAAGTACCTCACAGCCCTCAGACCTCTGCAGTCCGCACGCGAACATGCCGAAACCAAGCAAGCCGTCCAGGAATTCCTGAGGCACGATGGCCCTCCTCTGCAGGAGAAGCTGAAGGCTTACGCCCAGGACAAGACCAGCTACATTGAGCAGTTCTGTGAGTGCAACCACGGCCCGTCATACACACCCCGGCTGACCGTCGCACAGGGTACGATTCGTACCTGAACTTTGATAACCCCGTCGTTCTCAACCTGAACCCCTTCTTCCTGCTGGAAGACGACCCCACCCCCGCGAGGAACAACCAGGTGACCCGGGCGGCGTCGCTCGTCGTGTCGGCGCTCGAGTTCGTCAGAGCCGTCCGCAAGGAGGAACTCCCCCCCGACAACATCAAGGGTCAGCCCCTCTGCATGTACCAGTACTCGAGGCTTTTTGGCACAGCACGCGTGCCCACGGAAAACGGGTGTCAAATCGAGCAGGACCCGGACTCGAAGCACATCATCGTCATGTGCCACGGGCAGTTCTACTGGTTCGACGTTTTGGACGACAACAACGACCTCATCATGAGCGAGAAGGACGTCTCCGTCAACCTTCAGACCATCATCGACGATGCCTCGCAGACGCCAATCCAGGAGGCCGCCAAGGGAGCGCTCGGCGTCCTGAGCACGGAGAACCGCAAGATCTGGTCGGGGCTGAGAGACGTGCTGACCAGGGAGGAGGGGTCCAACAACGCCGACTGCCTGGGCATCGTCGACTCGGCGCTGTTTGTCCTGTGCCTGGACTACACCGAGCCCGTCGACGCCGACGCGCTCTGCGGCAACATGCTCTGCGGCACCAGCCTGGTGGAGAAGGGCGTGCAGATCGGAACCTGCACCAACCGGTGGTACGACAAGCTGCAGATCATCGTGTGCAAGAACGGCAGCGCCGGCATCAACTTTGAGCACACCGGCGTCGACGGCCACACGGTCCTGCGCTTCGCCAGCGACGTGTACACGGACACGATCCTGCGCTTCGCCAGGACCATCAACGGCCAGGCCCCGACGCTCTGGGCCACGACCAGCCCCGACCCGGCCAAGCGGGACCCCGACAGCTTCGGCGAGGTCGACCCGACGCCGCACAAGCTGGAGTGGGACATGACCCCGGAGCTCAGCATCGCCGTGCGCTTCGCCGAGACCCGGCTGGCCGACCTCATCGAGCAGAACGAGTTCAGGACGCTCGACTTCAAGCACTACGGCAAGAACTTCATGACCTCGATGGGCTTCTCTCCCGACGCCTTCGTGCAGATGGCCTTCCAGGCCGCCTACTACGGCCTCTACGGCCGCGTCGAGTGCACCTACGAGCCCGCCATGACCAAGATCTTCCTGCACGGCCGCACCGAGGCCATCCGCAGCGTCTCCGAGGAGTCGGTCAACTTTGTCCAGACCTTTTGGGCCGACAACCCGGCCGAGCACAAGGTCGAGGCCCTCCGCAGGGCGTGCCAGCGCCACGTCAACACGACGCGCGAGTGCGCCCGCGCCGAGGGCTGCGACCGTCACCTCTACGCCCTCTTCTGCACGTGGCAGCGCTCCATGGACGACGACACCCTCAGCAGCTCCAACGGCGGCTACTCGAGCCCCGTTGACGGGTGCTCGGAGCAGGGCGAGTCCGTCGTCGGCAGCCCTGGAAAGGAGTCGATACTCTCGCTCAACGGCGGCAGCGCCGACGCGCAGTCGACGGCGGGGTCCCGCGCGCGGGGCGACAGCACCACCTCGCGCGGCGGCGGCGGCGGCGGGCACACCAACCAGGGGTCGGCGATGCCGCACATCTTCGCCGACTCCGGGTGGGACAGGCTCAACAACACCATCATGTCGACGTCCAACTGCGGCAACCCGTCGCTGCGGCACTTCGGCTTCGGCCCGACGTCGGGCGACGGCTTCGGCATCGGGTACATCATCAAGGACGAGGGCATCTCCATCTGCGTGTCGAGCAAGCACCGGCAGACGAAGCGCTTCGTCGACACCCTCGAGAGCTACCTCCTCGAGGTGCGGCGCATCCTGCGCATCACGTCGCGCCGCGGTGCCGGCGTCCGGCAGACCCGCGCGCGCGAGCTTGACCAGCAGGCCCGCCCGCGGCCGCCCAGGGGCATCAAGTCCCGCGGCCGCCTCATCACGGCCCAGGACGCCATCAAGCCCTTGCCGGCGCGCTCGTCGACGGGTACACAGTCGCCCACGGATGAGAGCGTCACCCTCAGCGAGGACGACGAGCTCGGCGGATGTAAGTTTTTTTCGTCTTTTTTTTTATTTTTTTTATTTTGCGCTCCCCCGTCTCTTGTCAGATAGGACACATACTTTCTTGGAGCAGAAGTGCTGACGAGTGTTCCCCCGACAAACAGATGGCTTCTTCGACGCCGGCATGCTCCTCCAGGCGCTCAAGGCGCGCGGCGAGAGCATGGACACGGCGGAGACGAAACCCTCGGAGCGGGCGGCCGTGCAGGCGCGCCGGAGGGAGATTGGCAAGAAGCTGCGGCTGATTGAATATTGACGGCCGGGCGCATCGCATCGCTCGTCGGGCGGGGGGGGGGGGGGGGTTCTTCCGGCGCGTTTGGGGAATGTTGTAAGGAGAAGGAATCGGACGGTGTTTGGACCGCTCGGGTACGCATGAACAGCAAGCAAGCAAGCCTTTCTCTTTTCTTGTTCTTTTTTAGAAAAACCATCCTTGGAAACATATACCCTCCTTTTTTATCTGATATCAAGCCTATTTGGAGCCATGTTGTGTGTCTGTTGCCGTGACTGCCAGCCAAGCAAGACGAAGAACTCAACAGGGCTTTCTTTTTTGTGAGAGGTCACAGGTCGACTAAACATACATGCACGAGTCCGTTTCATTCTAAACGCTGATGGGGGGGCGAAGTCCAGAAGAGACGTTTGTGTTGTATGGTACACGTCCGCCGGAGTTCTTGCTCCAGATTTTGTTTCCCCATAAACTCTTATTGATTCTCATCAACAACACACTGCGATGCAGGTTCCTAAGGGGGGGGGACTACAGATGCGTTTGTCATCGGAAGCGTGGAAGATACAATGAAGAAGCGCCTAGTCTAAAAAGAAAACGAAGAAAAAAAACGGTCTTTTTTAGACAAATAGAAAAGAAGAAAAAAGATTCCCGTCCCCATCCTGCGCTGCGCCGTCCCGTTTCACCAGCGCCCGTTAACCCAGAATCATTACAAGACCGTTTGTGATTCTTCCCTGTTGTAATTGATGTTTTTGCAAGTTCCAAAAACGTCTCACGGAAAAATAATGTACAGAGACAGACATAGCCCCCCCCCCAGCACCGTTACCCCAATCCAGACCATCAGATAAATGGCGCACGGCGCAGAAAGCCTTTCAGGCGAGCTCGTGCATGTGCCCACGGTGGCCGTCGGCTGTTGTCGGCGCCTCGTGGATCGTCGGCGGTGGCTGCTGCTGGGGCGGTGGCGCCTGGCCAAACTGCTGGAACCCTCCCTGCGTTGTTTGAGGGCTGGTGGCCTGCATGCTGTAGCGGTCGTTCATGTCGTTGTTGGTGTTGCTGTGCGTCATCTGGGACACGGAGCCGGGGCTCGTCGTGTCGGTGCGGTCGGGCACCGCGTTGCCGTTGCCGGCGCCGGCGGCGGCGAAGTAGGGCTGCTGATGCTGATATCCGTCCTGCGGCGGGGGAGGAGGCGTGCCGCCAAAGGACTGCGGGTAGCCGCTGGGCCCGCCGAACTTGGGGTCGTAGATGGACTGCGTGTGGGTGGTGGCGGCGTACTGCGACGGCGAGCCCTGCGGCGGCTGCGCGTAGCTCATCTGTGGCTGCTGCTGCTGCTGCTGCTGCTGGCCCTGAGGCCCGCCGTTGTGGTTCTTCTTCCGGATGAGAAACCAGATACCGAAGAGGGCGAGGGCGATGACAGCGACGCCGCCCACGACGCCGCCGACGATGGCGCCGACGGGGGTGGAGGACGTCTTGTCTTTCGGATCCGGTACGGGGGCGGGGGAGGTCGACGACTCTTGGGCCGACGCCGAGGTGGCGGTGGGCCTGGTGGCTCTGCTCG